GTTGGAGTGGTAGCAGTAGCATCCTGGGGTGCAACAAACGTAACGTCGCGAACCTGACCGTACCCGTATTCTGTCTCGGTGGCAGCAACGATGCTGTTGAACATGTCCCATGCATTGTCAAGGTAGTGGCGGTCACCTGTGATGCGGTACATGATGAAAACAGACTCAATGGCTTCGGGGCGAAGTAAGTACCGGCGGTCGCGGATATTGGTGAAAGCGGTTGGAATACTGTATTTTTCGACGGCGGCATCAAAATCGTCAATGTACTTGTTGCCATAATGAGTGAGGACGCCTTCGGCCCAGGTGGTGCGGTTCCAGGGACAGGATGTGCGCGATTCGCACGGGACCATGTCGAAGGTTTCAGGCATAATGCCGGTTTGGGTGGCGGCATAGCTGTAGACGCAGCCCTTTGTGAGTTTTGCGCCGAGGTCGACGTGCTCTTTGATGGAGAAGATACGGCCTGCTAGACCGAACATGCCGCCAATGAAGCATGTCAGATGCTGCATGGTTGGGTTTAGAGTGATTTGGTCGCTGTAAGCAGACACATCGCCACAGAGCAGCAAGTTCTCGCCATGGTCCTTGTCAGGTACCATTGGCCTGAAAAGCATGTGCTCGTCAATCTTCTTTGCAGAGTCGCGGTACAGCTTCTCGTACACAGGCTCCACACCACCGAGCAGCGCATGCATCTTGGGAAAGTATTCGTACGTGCTATCTGCCAGCGCGCCAATGGAAAAGGAGCCTGACAAAGTGAAATCCTCACGCGCGACATTGACCATAGTCGGCCAAAGCCCCGGTATCTTTGTAGAGTTCTGAACACGGTCCATAAGTAGAGTGACTCTGGCTACAGCGTCATAATACTTTGACTCAGCAGTGATCTGCGCAAGGCGCGTAAACTCCATGGTTAAGGAGCCAAGGCAGGCAAAACAAATATTAGTCTCGGCATCAAAGGCATCTCGGTCAACCTTCTTGGCCTTCTCCACACTCATCCAGCCCAGCGGTGTGTTGTTCGTAGTGTCAAAGGCCCGGTACAGCATTTCCCCAAGTTGAATTGCTTTCTTAAGCAAGATTGGCTTACCGCTCATGTCGTATGCGCTCAGCAAACCCCCTAGGTATCGAATTGTCGTTTCAAAAACGCTGACACTTGTGAGGTTTGTCCTGCCGAAGTCGATTGCCGCAACTGCCTCTACAGCCTCGTCAAACTCCTCTCGAAGGCCCATAATCCACAGGGTATCGAGTGAATCGACAAGAGTAGCACCCCAGCCACCAAACGACTCCTCGCCTTCTGCCGTGACAGGCTTGAGCTCATCCTGCGCCCAAGCGTATGTCCTGTAGCTCTTCCACGTACGCTTGAAGACATTCCGTACTGCAATTCTTTGCGACTCCCTCTGGTTTCTTTGTGCACGTGTTTCGGGAAAGTATTCTGCCTGGATGCGCGGGAGTTTGCGGGGCTTGCTGGTCGGCAGCGGGATGTAGGACGAAATGCGGTTTACAAAAGGGGCTTTGCGCCAATCGTAAGACTGTTGCGATTCGAGGTTGGCGAGACTGGGACTTTGGCGCATGTACGCCTCGTGGTCTTCAAAAGGAACTGCCAACGGGTCGATGGGCTCCCCGAAGAACCTGTAACATACGCCGAACAGGAGGGCTGCACCGAGCGCGTAGAGCAGGAATCGTTTGTGTTGCCGGGACATGGGCTGCTGGTATGGTACCCCGCGGGGTACTTTGATCCTACGCATGGTGAGATGGGCAGTGGAAACTATAGTCGCTCATTGAGTGAACGATTTAAAGGAGACTGGAACGACCAAGTAAGCAGCCACCATCGACCATGTACTGCCTACAAGGCTAGACTAGGACAATTGCACCGTGCCAGAGTGTCAAGTAACAGAGCGGCAAGAGGTGCTTAGTGCAAAGGTGCTGACCCGGGGGCGTTGTAATATACGGAATATAGTGGAGATGGACTCGGCGCTTTAGGACACCTCTCAGGTGAGAGACAACGTAGGGGACGTGACCCATATGCCAAGGCAACATGGATTGCCGATCAAACCGAAGCTACACGACGAGGTCGTTCCGGTAGCCGTAGCGTTAGTAAAATTCACCATGGCGCGTGGCGCTGGAATACACAATGGTGCGTACAGGCGACCGTGTACTTGACTGCAGTGCATGGGTGCAGTTGCAGGGGCTTGCGCTAAAGGCGGCCCCTCTCCCCTGCGCATTGGCTCCAATGCGAACCACACCACTCACGAAGCGAATCGTCAGTATAATAACAGCCAGTATAGCCTGCTCTTCTCCTCCTGCCAGAATGATCCAATATGCATAATGCAGCTCAATTGATCAAATGTCATTAATTTGCTCCATCATTTCGTCTTACATACAATACACAGCCAGTCGCCCAAAGACCCAGAAGCCCAACACCATGCCTTTTTTCTCTAAACCTCATGCGGTCTTCATCCAGGAACGCCAGCTATTGTACAGTGGGCAGCGGAGGCCGCCCGTAGAGTGGTGAGGGATACGTCAAGATCGACGGTATAGATGCAAAAAGTGTCGAACGTAGAAAAGACGAGAACATCATTGCGACGAAAACTCCGAAAACTCGGAACGCCTGCGATGGCGGGAACATTGTGGCTCAAGACACAACTGTTCTTGGTTTACTCGGATTTTTGATCAGGCTCAAAAAAGACCTTTCGTGTTATCTGAGTCACCATTAGTAAATTTCCTAGCTTCAATGGCTATCCAACTTACCGCCCAGGATCCTGCTACAGTGGCGCAAATACCCGAACTAATGGCCATTTGCCTCGTCCCTCTTGTGCTCTTAAAGATGGCACCGCTCAAGGCGCCTGCGACTATGCTGTTGCTCATCTCGTGCTTTCCCCTGTAGTAGCCAATGGTGCTATTTATTCCATTGTACACCATGGCAATCACACCTGCACTGTTTCCCAAAAACGGCCCTCTCCGCGTTATCGCATTGAGCACACCGTTGAGCCGCAACCGTGGTGGCATGCTGGGCGGGTTCTTCTGTAGTCCCTCGGCAAGTCCCCATGCGCCACCAATTGTCAGCGCCGTCAGGTACGAGACTCCGGTGCCATAACATAAGTCGTCTGACCAGCCACGCGAGGGCAGGGCCGATTGCGAGCCAGGAAGATCGGATGGGAGTTGGTCTTCGAGTGAGAGGTATTCGAGCGTCTGTTGGTTGAGGCCCGCAAGAGGGTGCAATTGTGTGGGGTCGAGGATGAACTCGGAGGGGTTCTGGATGGCGGTGCTGGGGTCGAATGGTGTGGGCTGGAAAGTATCTTCTTTTACAAAGTCATTATTTGGTGGCGGTTGTGGTGCGGCCTCCTTGGCCTTGCGTCCTGTTAATGTATCCCAGCTGGTGTGGGTGTCAGCAGGTCTCGAATTGAAGTTTCATTGGGAGTCACAAAGAAAGCACATACATAGCCATATTGAAGATGTCGTGCTGTGCCGGTATAAAGAAAAGATAAGAGGCTGCGCCAGATCGCTACCAAGACCCGTAACCCACGGAGTATGTGGATAGAAGAAAGCAAAGAAAGGAAAAGCGTAGGATGGCGCAGGGCGGAGAGGCGCAGGGCAATGGGGCGTGTGCTGGGGCGTCGGCGGTGATGTCGCGAAAACTTCTGGCGAGCAACATTGAACAGTGACGAACGACACCGTGCACGGACCTTTCTCGAAGGGTCTCTGCTTCCGAGCTCGGAAAGAAATCATGGAAAACGCCCACCACCCTCGGAACACTCACCCATACCCATCGCACAGCCCAGGAGTAACAATTCGCCATGGCACTTCCAGAATTCAAGCAAAACTTCCTCAAGGACTGTGTGTCGGCGGGTGCGCTAAAGTTTGGGACTTTCACCCTCAAGTCCAAGCGCATATCGCCCTACTTCTTCAATGCGGGGCTATTCCACAGAGCCGACTTGCTGCGCTCAATATCCTCAGCCTATGCTCACACACTCAAGGCGCATGGAGAGGCCGATGCTTCTTTCCAATGGGACATCCTCTTCGGACCCGCATACAAGGGCATCCCCCTCGCAGCGGCATCAGTTGATAAACTCGCCGATCTAGATCTCGCCAAGTACGGGCTGAAGAGCTACAGCTTCAACCGCAAAGAAGCAAAGGACCACGGCGAGGGCGGCAACATTGTCGGTGCCAGCCTTAAGGGAAAGAAGATTGTTATCGTGGACGACGTCATCACCGCTGGTACTGCGATCCGAGAGGCTATCGACATCATCAAGAGGGAAGGCGGAGAATTGGTTGGCATCATTGTTGCCTTTGACAGGCAAGAAAAGACTCCTACTGCTACCGATGATGACGGCAAGCCTGGGCCAAGTGCAATTGGCGAGGTGAGGAAGCAGTACGGCATTCCAGTGCTTGCTATCCTGACACTGGACGATGTGGTCGAGTATTTGAGGAGCCTGGGCGGAGAGGAGGACCTGAAGCGACTAGATGAGTACAGAGCCAAATACAGGGCCAGCGACTAAGATGAGGGGGAATTCTTTGGAGATGGATTATGATACCACGACGAATCAGATCATGCAGGCATGGCAGAGCAAGCATGAGAAGACTTGCTGGCTCGAATATTACCTGCTTTGCATTCAATGCTACGTCCTTAAAATATTTTTTTCAAAGTGTTTAACTGCTTGTTCTCTCTCCTTCACTTTCTACTCCCCTGCTCACTTTGAACAATGTCTTGTTCTTCATCACACAGCCAGAGAGATTGCACAATACATGACATGATGCATAAGCCATTTGGCAGTCGATGTTGCGGAAGTATTCGTCATCTCTTCATGCCAGGGCTCGAGCTAAAAATCGGTAGCGTAATGTATAGTCGTACAGACTAACGTAAAACACCCATCGTTTTGATAGGCAAAAGGAGCATCTACCTCGTGCAAGCTCATAGAAGATACCCATCACCAACTCTAAGGACCCGCCTCTGAGGCCGTAGTCCCAGCCCCGAACGCCAAATTACATAGCATCTGGTAATCATCGCCAATCACTTAAGCCTTCTTAGCAAACTCGACACGAAGGATAAGATGACCGAAACCGACTGCAGCTTCGTTAGTAAAGTTCCCGCATGAAATATCCGACCACAAGACTTACATCCGTCCATCTTCTCGCACGCCTTTGCAGCATCTGATCGGTCTGCATAGCTGACAAAGGCGAAACCCTTGGCACGACCAGTTTCCCTGTCCTTGGCCAAGAAGACCCTGGTAACATGTCCATATCTTGAGAACATGTCGCGCAAATCTTGCTCCTCAGCAAACTCGGAAACGTTGGTGACACGAAGGGTGGCGCTGTCGTCACGATCAAACTTGCCGCCCATCTTCTCGCCAGCACCACCACGTCCACGCAGATGTGGTGGCACGTATCCTCCAGATCCAGCACCAAGACCTCCTGATGCACCAACGCCGGGCGCATCGTCGGGCATGTCTGCAGGCGCAACATCGCCCTCGGGAGCCATGGTATCCTTGAACGGACATTTTGTCGTGAAATGGTCGCCCTGGCAAATACGACACTTGATCTTTGCGTTCTTGAGCTCGGCTTTCTTCTTCGCTTCGTCGCCCTTGTCCTCGGTGCTTGCTTTCCAGTTCGATACTGGTCTGAACACAATGTTCTCGGCCACGGAGACGGTATCTGTTTGTGGGCCGGGTGGCTTGCCCTTTTCTTGACCAAACTTGGCCCATTGCTTTCGTTCGGCGACACGTGGGTTTACGACTTGCTTGACGACGGTCTTCTTGATGCGGCGGGTGGTCTTGATCTTCTTGCCATCCTCAATACGGTAGGAGATGACTGTTTCGGTTCCGTCCTTGTTCTTGATGACTTGGTTGGGTGGGAGGGAGGTGAGGGACTCCTCGTCGTCTTCTTCCGCCCAGTCGGTGCGGCTACATGGCAATCGTCAGCATATAGACTTTTATCGACGTTCGGTTGAGGCGAAATAGGTGACGAGTTGGCGCGCCAGAGAATCCAGGACAGTGGGATGCGCATGAACGCACAGGGCACAGATAGACTCACCCTGCAGGTCGTGACATGTCAGCGGCTATGTATGTGCTGTTCTGTGTAGGCGTCGGTCCTGAAGTCGGGGTTGTTGTCAGATACAGCACGGTAAGAAGTGGCGGCCAGTGGGGCAATTCAATGTGTGCGCTGCGCCGCCAAGATTTCGCGCTAATAGCACCTGTCAGTCACCCTTTCAACCGTGCCGTCTACGTCGTACTTCGCCCTAATACTGCAAGCGCTCTGACTTGGGCTCTAGTATGATGGATAAGCTAGCAGTATATACATTGAGTCGGAGAGATCTATGATTGAGGACACTGGTTGTATGCATCAAAATGCACCCCCGCCATTCTTGAGGCCCATCACTTCACTCTTGTATGCAATTACGAGATCCTGACTCTGCACCTACACCTTTGAGAATTTAGTGGTGTCTTACGAATTTTTTGATAGTGCCATTAATATTTAATCATTATCTATCTTTACGCGGCTTGCGAAAGAGTGTAGACGTTGTTTTCCGTCGATGCGGCAGTGCTAAGCTAGTTTGGGATATCGATAGCATCACGTGCGCACGCTGGAAAACCTCCTGGTTTTTATTCCCAGTATTTTTTAATGTTTCACGAATCTAAAGAACTTATCCTGGTTGTTCTCCCACATACGGCCATAGATTCAAGAAATTTAGCCATCCCGTTCGATCTGGCCTATACAAGCTTGAAATCGGCGGATTAGTAGTCAGGTGGGTGACCACTGGCGAATCCCCGCTGTCGTATGTTTTTGCTCTTGCATCTTTTTTTGCCCAATTCGCGCAAGTCATGTGGGTAGGGTCCTGGTATGCCGGTTGCTGTTGTCAGTCTAGGTTGTGTAACTCACCAGTCGCCGCTCTCTCATACAACCAAAAATGTCATTTGCGTGTTGCTAACAAAGGTAGTGATGAGCTATAGGTAACCTCACCCCATTTCATGAACTCGTTATTTTTGAAACTTCAAAACTCAATCAAGCAATAGCTGACATTGCATCGCCATGCTTAGCCTTCGGAACCTAGATTCCACTGCACTCTGCCGCGCCCAGGAACTGCCAACTGACCGACGGGCACTGGCTTGGGATGCTGAATGACATCGCTGTTCGTCCTGGCAATCGTCTGTGCCATTGGGTTTGGTGTACTGGTAGGGAATGATGTCTCGCTGCCGCCCCTGGGGAGCCTCGGTTTCTGAATATGGTGAGGCGAGCTAGGTGCATTGAAGTCATTGACAAAGGGAAGTTGGGAAGGTACTGAGTGTGGATGTTGTAGTTGTTGCGGTGGCTGCGTGGATTGCGGTGAGCCGTGCGCGTGATCAAGGAACATACTATGGCTTGTAAGTAACCTGATACCAGGTACAAAATAAGGGAAATGTTAAAGCAGATCAGGGATAATTTTACTCTTGTGGTTGAGTACTTCCCCTCCGACTTGTCTGCACACTGCTGGCCATGCTACCACTTCCCGTTCCACCTACTGTGCTGCCGCATGCACTGCCATACATCGCTGCATGCTGTGACTGTGGAGTAGCGGGAAGCCACCCACTGCTTGTGATGCCCTCGACATCCATAAGGCGTTGAAGCAAGTCTTCGGTGATGACAAGCAAATGTTCCAAAGCAGCAAGACGTGAGGTCTCTTTTGCAGAACAGCAATGGATATATGATTTACTGGATGGATTGTGTTCGACGATGCACGCCCCAACTCTTCTTGAGGAAGTCGGAGCGAAGCTTATCACGTCTAAACATCGATTCGGTCCATAGATCGCGCGCGCGTTCGCTACGACAAGTCAGTTTTTTGTCACCAGCATTGAACAACACACGTACCGAGTACTCTTGTCCGGGTGCTTTCCAGGGCATAATCCGAGTCCTTGTCCTCCATGCGATGCAATATTTGGCTCGCTGTCCGCTCCAATGCTAAACTGTCGTAACTGCTGCTTTTGCCGTGCTTCATGTCCTTGAACGCCTCGATCATCTGAACTAGTACGTTCCAATACCAGTACCCGGCGGAGATTTGACTTTCTGGATCTGTTGGACTGTTCAGATCTCGAAGACGCCACGGATTCGGAAGTATTTGTGCGTTTAAGCGGCCCAAACTTCTCAAAGGATGCTAGCTCTTTGGCAAGGTTCTTCCACGAAGAAGTTCTTGAGAGCTCCTTCTCAGAGTTTGTACGACTTATGTTTGGTGAGCTTCCAGCTGACCTCGAGCCGTCGAGTTGTCGCGAACTCCTGCGCCGCTGAAGGCGGAGTTGAATCAAACGCTCTTCGTAATCTGCAGCTTCCTTTAGGCGTTGCTCCTTTCTGCGGATGTAAATGTCTTGTAGAGAACCGTGTCTAGTGAGTCGATGAGGGTGCTTGGGATGCCAGGGATTGAGCTGTGGTCCCAATGCAACTTTTTCAGCAAGTGTCGGCGGTGGCGTGGGCTGAGAATGCCTTCTGATACGGGTCGAGTGCTGCGACGTTCCCGATATGCTCGAGCTCAATGACCTTGGTTTAGGATTAGAACCCGTAGAATTAGCCCTGATTCGGCCAGGCTTCGCGTGTGATGGATCCAGGATGTCCACTTCCTCAATGGTATCAAGTAAAAAGCTTCGCCAGTATTCTTCTTCCCAGTACTGTGCAGGCAGCCCGTATATACAATAGGTAAAGGGAAACGTTGTGGTGACTGCGAGATGCACCTGTGACTGTATTAGCAATGTGAAAATACACATCCTTGATTTTTGAATCTGTAATCTGGACCAGAAAGACACACTTAATGCGAAGGTGGCCGCAGAGCCAACGAGGCTCGAATCAAAGTATGGCGTCGTGTTTTGGTGAGTCGAAACAGTCCCAGACAAATACCAGATGGCAGACCCGTAGCTTTGGTAGTTGAAGTGTTGTATTGGTGAGAGTTGCCAAGGGACGAATAGATGAAATGAGGAAGGAGTTGTATGAGGAAGTGTAGCAAAACAATGGTAGCGTCGACAGTGCTCAAGTAGGATGTTGTTGAGCAGCCATCTAGTAGTATGGATGAGCAGCGAGCTATGAGGTGAGGGAGGGGAGAGAAGGTTGAGCGTGATGCAATATGTTTTGTGATGTCAGTGATAAGAAGTGTCGGTTGGCAGCTACTGCCCGAAAAGATTGCACCAGGCAGCAACAGCAGTTGGTGTGAACGGTATTGACGACCACGGATTTCCAAAAAAAAACAGGCATATTGTGGTCTTTCAATCATCTGCATTTTGTGGTCACGCTATTGCATGACTTCCGTATCACCTTAGCGGCTCGTTAACGTACAGCAAGAAGATCAGGTGGCGTATGTATCTGGTGCTTTGGCAATGGTGCAGTATTAACATGCTCACTATCACCATCTCTGCAAAATACACACCACATGACGAAAATCCATTCCAACATCACTTCATGTATGCCTCCTGTTGTTGCAGTCAAACACGGTTATGAAAACAAATAAATCCAAGGCTATCTTAGCAGCTGTAACGACAAACCCCACTTTATCTCATCAATGGTATCCTTTCCTTCCATATCCCTCTCTTCCATGCAAATGCCAACACACAAACGCTTCAAGTACAATTATGCTCTTTTGATATTTACTCCATCCCACACCAGATATATTGCATCCCTATTGTCTCAATAGTGAACCTACCTACATAAGCGCTATGGATGTGTTCGACTTGGCTCTGACCTGATGGAGCGTCTCGACGATCACTTTACCTCGGAGCATGCGCTCAACCGATGCTTTCAAATAGTACAGCAACGGTTCAGTGCTCAGCCGCTAACCAGAAAACCTAAACCGCGAAGCCTCCAGCCTGCCGAGGCCCTCTCGGGGGGCCACGTTTCTTCGACGATAGCTAGTCGTAAAGTCTTGCAGAATCGTTCTAATCATCCTAACATCGCCTGTCTGGATCCGCTGGCGAATGTTGTTGAGGAAGCGCTCGCTCTCTTGAGGTGTGATGCTACCCTGTGGTAACATAGCCACGGTGCTCGCAACCCACTGTGCAACCTGTTCAGGCATGAGCTCGAACAGGTCGAGAAGAACGCCAGATGAGTCGGCAAAACAGCCCTCGGGAAAGCTGTACATCATGCCCGTCATGATACGCTGGACAAGTTGGACGCCAGCACCCACAACAAGCTGCTTAACGCGGTCCCGTATTTGTTCTGGAACTTCGTGACGTGTGTTGTCAAATGTAGACGACGGCGATGAATTGCGACCATAGCCAAGGAAGTCGCGTAGGAAGTGCAGCACTGCGATGATGGGATCCTCTTTGAGCAATGTGAGAGAACTACAAGCTGCAAGAAGTATCGTTTCCATAAGCGGGGACATGATAGACTCGGATGGGAAGTAGAGTGCCATGTCGGCTGCGAGACGGAAGTAATCCTCAATGAGATCAGGGAGTTCTTCTGGTGGCAGATCACTGAGTATCCTTAGGAAAGTCTTCGCTTGCTGCTCATAGAACTGGTAGACGTCGTTTGCCAGACCTGCATCGACAGTTTCTACGCCTTGCGAGAATTCGCGCACTATCGATGCCGTGGCCCAGAGGAAACATCCCTGTCTTGATTTATCGAAACCTTCAATCAGTTTTGTGGCAAGAGCCGGTAGAAGTGGCCGCATTGCCGTCTGGTAAGAAAGTACCATGTATCGCCAGCACCTGCATACACGCTCGAGGATCGGTATGCTTGTGTGGAAATGGCTGATCATGTTGGCAAGGGTGGGGAAAATCTGTTCGCAGTATTTGACGGCTGGATGCTCTTGGCCGGGTGGTATCTCTGGCCTCACCATTTCAAAGAATATCGTGAGGAGGTTGATCTTGTCTGCAATGAGTTTCTGGTCTGGCTCGTCCTTTGCTTGTTGTGCAAGCTCGATCAAGTGTGCCATGACAGGGTCGAGATATAGCTTGAGTGTTGCTAGAAGCTGGTCGTTGGGAACTTTGGCAACAACAGAGGCGACGCCTTCCGTAATTTCTTCCTGACTGCTAATGGGTAGCTTGTTCAAATTCTTTGCGTAAAACTGCTGTAGCGGGCCAACATAGTGAACTAACAAGCTCGCGCAATCGTTGCAAAAGAACTTGAATGACAGCGCAGCAGCTCGAATGACATCCTTGGTTGAATGGTCAAAAGCTGCCATGATGTAGTCCAATTGCATCTGTAGCGTGTCAGGGTGCTGAGCCGTCCACTCTGTGTATCTTCCTAGAGCCATCACAGCTTGGAATCGCAACTTGTTGTGATCGGGTATGCCTGCAATGAGTGGAATCAGTCGTGGAAGCATGATGTTCTCATCTGAAGGCACCATGCGGCCCATGGCTCTGACCGCGAACAAAGGCGCTTCCAGTTTCTGCCACTCTGGCACACTGTTTGGCCCAGCCTGCGCGCCGTATGTTTGAACCCACTGCTGAATGAGATCATAAGGTTTTTGAAGGCATTCCACGACACCCATGACCTCACAGCAATCCTTGAGAACATCGCCCATCTGGTGTCGAAACTCGCGAAACTTTTCTTCTTGTTCGCGATCGCCTTCGAACAAGTCCTTGTCATCACCACTCCCACCTTCCGGCTTCGGGAACTGAAGGTGGTTTATCATGATGTCGACGAGCTTGGAGTAAATGTCTAGGCATTGGTTGCGGGCTTCGGCGTATTTCTCCAGTGTCAGGTATTGCTTGAGGTCGTACCAGAACTTGAAGGTATGGGAGATGGCATCTCTCTCCTTGTCTAGCGCGGCTATGGCAAGTATTGCTTCGACTAATGCACGGAAATCGGTCGGTAGACGGGCGATGAGGATGACCCAAGACTCTCCAGCTTCGGCAAATATCCTCGCAATGCCCTTGAACTTTTCAGTATCCTCCTCTTGTGCCGCCTCGGCGAGCTTCGTTTGAAGGTTGATGACTTGGGGATAGAGGATCATTATGGAACTGAGAGTCTCATCGACGTCTCTCGTCTCTGAAAGGAGGGCGCTCAGGCATTCTACCGCAGCTTCAAAAGGATCTTCTTGCGAGAGGCCGTCAAATATGATCTTGAGCAAGGGAGAGTTGATGATGGCGTCCAATGGAATTTCGCGTATCCAGGAAGTGATGCAGTGGAGTAATTGGGGGTTTTGTGCGGCCGCAGCTATGAACTGTCAGTTGGAGTGGGCTGGAATCCGGGAAAATTAACGTACGTGAAGAGGTTCCGTATCGTACGAGGAGTTCCAGGGCTTGCTGGGCGTTGTCTTCAATCAACTCGGCCGTCCTCATAGTCAACTCGTGTTCCTGACCACCACACATTAGACTACAACTCTGCTAGCATGTGTCGGCACCGCGGGGAATTGCCGTAGGCTGCAAATGGGGCGCGGCTCGCTCGGACGTACTGTGAGTGCGATCTTACGTCCATGTGTGACTTCTTCGGGGAGAACGCGGAGAAAGTCGAGGACGCAAGGTAAGGTTGCAGGGTCGGAGCCGAGTGAGTTGACGATATCTTTGAGGACATCCTTCCACTCGGTCATCTGTATTGCGAGATTTGCCAGACACACGCATAGCTGCAAGCGTATGGGCTTTGGTCCAGCGTGGAAAATGGCCAAGTTTCGCATGATAGAAGCTCGCAGCTCGGCAAGTTGAGCGCGGGGCACTTGGTGCAAGTCATAGACAATCTGCCGGCTGTTAGGAGAGCGCTTTGATGAGCAAAACACTAGCTTACCTTGCCCTTGAGAGTTGTGGCAGCGAAAAGCTTGGCTGCTGCATCTGCAGAGTTGGACTCGAGCATAGCTAGTGTGGTTGTCCATGCCTCTTCCTGCGCGCCAGTCAGCCACCTGTGCCCTTACAACGACGGACCCGTACGTACCGACTTCTGAAATTGCTCCAGAAACTGATGTGCCTGCTCTTTCTGTGCGCGATCCGCCGACGATGCCATGGTGTTGTGTGCCGCCAACACCGGGTCGAACACCTGCTGTCCGTTGGCAGCCATGGTGGGGATGGTTGAGGGGGGTGGTGATGATGGTGATGGTGGGGGAACGGATGCGGATACTGCTCTGAAAGAGACGGCGGGGTCGAGTTATATTGCGCGCATGCACTGGCTTTGTGATCGAGGCCGGCAGACAGAAGGTGCAGGCGGCGAGGATGCGGCGAGGGTGGTTGTGGTGGTTGCCAGCGTGGTGGGGTGGTGAGTTTGCTCGGGCATGGGCAGTTGCGTTTGGTTGCGCATAGGCAGTCAAAGATCCCCACGTTAGCGCCAAGAGCCGTGACCGCTCGCTCCCTCGCGCCAGAAATGTTGCTTCGACTACACTTCATCTCCACCAGCTACCGCCCACCCTGCAACCAGGCGTCGACTCTACAAACGCCAAAACCCTGATACCCGAAACTCGAATTACAAAATGACTGGACGTGGAGGTCGGTATGTCCCGTCATTGGGCGAAAACCATAGCTAACGTGTATAGGCCGCGGCGGAGGAAAAGGTACGACAACTACCACATGCTTGCGCAGCAGCACCAACTGACGAGCGCGCAGTCCTCCTTCCTCCCATCAACTTCATCTTCAAGCTTCTGCAATCACGGGCGACCATATCAGTTTGGCTATACGAGAACCTGGGCATGCGCATCGAGGGAAAACTGAGGGTACCATGGCCGCTTGCTATCTATGCCCAAGCAGCTAACATCTGAGTAGGGCTTCGACGAGTTCATGAACCTGGTCATTGACGACGCCATTGAAGTCACGCTTGCGAAGAAGGACGCGCCCGAGGAGAGGCGCAAGGTCGGCCAGATTCTGTTGAAAGGAGACAACATTTCCCTGATCCAGCAACTTCAATAAGCGCCAGCGACGGACACATTTCTCCTGCGGTTGTAGGGTCGTACACATGAGAGAGCGCATGCATTGCAGGACTGTTGTAGGGAGCGGACAAGCACGGTTTTGTTTACCAAACTTGATGGGAGAAGCTCAAGCCCCTGCGCGACGGAGCTCACCAGCGCCGGTGATCAAGGCGTCGAGGCGGAAATCGGAAGAGTCCATGGGAACCGACTCATTTGGCGGAAGGAGCTGCTCGGTCAAGGCAAGACCAACTTTGACGTGGTCAGTTAGCCCTCCACATACAGAATACCAGTAGTTCTTACCGCGAAAAGGCATGCGCGATACGTGGTGACAGCGGGTCAAGAAGAAGTCGTAGAAGCCCTTGCCATGGCCAAGGCGGCCGAACTGCGCGTCAAAGGCCATGCCGGGCATGACGATCAGATCAAGACCGTCTTTGATGCCGTCAGTCTTGCCGTTTGTGACACCAGTACCGCCAAAGCAATTGGCACGTGATGAAATGGACTCTGTGCTTGGAGTTGGAATGCCCCATTTGTCGGGTTTAAGCGAGTCAAAGTCAGTCATCGAGTGCAGCTCGAGCATATCCATGATGGACTTTGGTTGGCCTTGGTCGGGCGTATCCAGAGTGTACGTGTATGGAATGAAGACCTTCTTGCCATCGCTGAGGGCATTGCGCACAATGTCGATTGTGGAGATTTCTCCTCCAGGCATGGATAGATAGACACTGATTCTACGTGCCGCCTGGTACTCGGGCATGGCTAGCAGAGTGGCAGTGGCATTGGCCGCTGGATGGCGTCAGAAGAGCGACATGCAGCCATCGTATCGTGACGTACTTTGCGAAGCAGCAGCCACATCAGACAGCTGGCTGAGAATAGTCCGTATCTTTTTTCGCAACTCCTTTTTGACTGCTGCCAGTGACCCCGCCATAGCGTATGTACCTAGTGCCCGTTTAATAGCAAATGTCACGGCGTTTCAGAATCAGAGCCGTTGCGCGACGGCCAAGTCGAGGCTGGGGCGACCGCAACTCCTGAGCAACAATGGGCGGCTAAAGTAGTGCCGGGCTCGGTGAATAGCAACTGTGCTGTTGGATGAGCGCAGTTTGGTAACAATAATATTGGAGAGAACGGTCCAAATGCGGGTGCGGGCAATGGTGGTCGGCCTTGCCCACGGCACGCCGATGATCTGCAAGTAGCCGCGTTATCCTTGTCCATTCGTCCCAAGCAAAGGAGGCGGCGAGACACTCAACATGCGCAACTCACCACACTCCTCCCTCTCCTCGACACCCACCCACCATCCTCCGTGACCACATACATACATACCCACACCCGCACGCTCGCTTTATCTCGCCTTCGCCAGGTCGCCCACATTCGTTCAAACACACACAACACATTCGCAGCCATGGTTTCGAGGTTAGCAGCCCTGCTCCTTTCTGGAGTCGCAATGCTGCATGCGCAGGCCCAGACGCCCGTCGGCGCAGCAGATCTCGTAGGCACCTGGACAAGCAAGTCAAACTCAACCCTGACTGGTCCTGTATGACTTCCGTATTGCGATATTTACGGGAAGATCGAGGCTAATTGCTGACAGGGCTTCTATAACCCCGTTGAGGAGAAATTCACCGAGCCGAAGCACACAGGCATCAGCTACTCCTTCACAGCTGACGGATTCTACGAGGAGGCTTACTATCGCGCAATCGCAAATCGTACGTAGCCCCGCAATCGCGCGCGCATCGCGACCGACGTACTAACAGCGTCGACAGCCCAGGATCCCAGCTGCCCCAAAGGCATAATTCAATGGCAGCACGGCAGCTACGAGAAGCTCAGCAACGGCTCCCTCATCCTCAACCCTATCAAAGTCGACGGCCGACAATTGCTCTCTGATCCATGCCGTTACAAATACGCCACCTACACTCGCTACAACACGACTGAACTGTTTGATGTACGTATTCTTCACAATTGATTGTCATCCCTGTCTTGACGTCTATTGTGCATCGATTTGCTGACATGCACATAGCGCTATGAGTACGTTGCGTCAGACGCCTACGCCAAGATTCCGCGCATCACTCTGTACAAAGCCGACGGCGCTCCCATGATGCCCATGTACCTCGCCATGGCCCAGCCCCAAATGCTGCCAACCACCACCCTCAACCCCCTCGTTACCCAGACCGCCGCACCAAAGAACTCGAAGCGAGGCGAGCTCCCCTTAAACCACGAAGTCATCTACAAGAGAACACCCGGCGCTGCGAGATCAGACCAGTGGTGGTGGTTTGGTGTCTTCATGACTGCCAGTGGAAGTCTGCTCTACTACTTTTTCTAAGCGGTTAGCTGCGGTCTTGGTCGAAACTGTACGATACGAATGCGTGAAATGGAAAACTGGGTGCACGCTTGTTTGGTGGTTGCTAGCATCATGACGGAGTTTTGTTTGTCACTGGCGAGTTGGTTTTTTAAGCACTTATACTGCGCTGGACGGGGTGGTTAATTACGATCGTTTGTTTTTGGGTTTGATGGTTAAACTGCAAGGTATTTGTAGAATGAGGCGTTCTTTGGCGGCATATATTTTCTCAAATACCAAAATGTTGTCTTCGTTCAGGCACTTTGCTCACGCAGACTTCTTCGCAAAGCATGACATGGATTCTAGGGCATCCGTCGTCTTGTCACGAGATGCCTTCATCCTTTTTTGCCCACTCCGCCTCTAACTTTTACTTTCCCATATCCTACTGTGTAGACCTAGATCAAGCAAAAGGTTTCATTTGAACCCCATTGTCCTACCATATGCCCACTCACCTCCATCACCCAACCACCGCAACAACTGCAACGAATCCAGAACACGTGAAACTTTGTTTCTCTCTTCCGATGGGGCCCGATACCCACGGACCGCATTGCTGTACCTACTCCTCCTCTCACATGCAGAAACAAAAGCAAATAACCAAGAGAGCGTAACACGCCATTGCAAGACACAAAATCGGGTTCTCACTTGTGTTCAGTATGGAATTGAAAGCAACTAACCCATCTTTCACACACTGGATTATGCGTTCCCCCAATCACAAACAAACTACAACAAGCTTTTGTACGTTTTACGTAGCGAATACAGATTGTGGGGACTTTGAAGCCTAGGTTGCGTGCTTGTTTGTTTAGTCTATGGCAACTTTGCTTGTTCGTCCCATTTCCCGGGTTCAGGGTCGATGCTTTCCTCGTATCGGCAAAGTTCTTGGGAGTGAGCATGGATATTACTGGTTTCGGTCGCTTTTTTGCTTTTTATAGTGGTGACTAGTCTGGCTAGGTGGCTGCGTGGCTGCGTGGATATGTCGGGGGTGGGAAACGGATGCCGAGGTGAGAGTGTAGTGGAACAGGGGTAGATGAAGCGAATACCGGCTAGGATCCGGTTGGGTGGGTTAGTAGTTTGTTGGGATAATATTCTTTTTTTGGTGTAATTCCCGTTGTCGGTGTGACGGGGATAGTTGGAGAAGATGGGCGAAAGAAAGTTTGTGTGTAGCGAGTGTGTAGAGATAAGCCGGTTGTCATGTCGTGGCTTTTGGAAGTATAGAAAGAGCCGTTTTGAGTATTCATGCATGGTCATGCAAGAGAATTGTATGGAGGGAAATATGCAGTGTTGGCTCAACCTGGCGCTGATCGCCATTGCTGCTGTTGTTGCTCTTAGGGTCATGGTCGTCATAGAAAGTCCAACGCTCGTGTTGCATGCCGTGATCGACTGCATGACAGACTGCAGTAGTAGGGACGTCGTTATGTGGGTATACACGCTTCTCATGCGTTCGCTCTGATCTCTTCTTTCTAACGCTGTTTTGTCGTGACTTGGCAACTCGCCGTATTTTTCCCCCCTCGAAGAGGTTCCTCCTTTCCTCCCGTAATCGTCCTGTAAAGTGTAACAGTTTGCAATTGTTACATATCCATGGGTGATGATTTTTCCTAATCACGGTATTTCCAGTTCCATCTCTTCTTATAATCCAACCTTCTCCAATCCTACTCTCAAATCCTCCTCTGTACTCAACACATTCATAGCCCAAGGAGGTAGCTTACTCTTGAACACAAACCTCGTCTCTTTTTGCGAATCATCTCTCACCCATTTCCTCCTCTCATCACTGTTAGGACCATCCGGACCACGCGGATTGGCATACTCCGGATCCTCAACATACCCCTCTTCTTCTTGGAACCTCATGGTTCGCTTTGTCCTCCTTACATACGGCGGCCCCCTCTTCATTTTCGCCTGTTGCTCCCATACTGACTCGCATCCCTTAGCAATCATGCCCGCACTAGCCCAGCCTATCCTTCGCTCAATCTCCAACAGACGCGTGATGAGCCACTCCCGTTGATGAGGTTCCTTGAAGGTGACACCGGCGAAGAACATGGACATGGTTGCCTCTGTGAATATAGCACCAAGGAAGGGAGAAAGGTCCTCAGAGATGGGAATCTGGAATCCGGCTGTGATACGGCCGATTAAAGTACAGTATGGCGCAGTAGCAGCTGCGCACACTCCTGCTGCCATTTGCGCTGCTGGAGGCATGCCGGGATGGGAACGTAAGAGGATGATCTTAGCCAGGTAGAGGAGCGTCCACAAGATGGATATGTCATAACTTCGATGGGAAATGGCTTTCCCAAAAGGCGTCATGTTACTCTGTGCGTGTTGTCTTTCTCCCGGAGGCGGTGGGTAGATATCCTCCGGCAAAGGAGCAAAACCTTCTGTGTTCTGAAAAACTCGCTCAACTGCCGCATGTGCCTCGCAAATACTTTCCCATTCCGCTACTGCATTGGCGTAGGCAGCAGACAGATCATCATATTTTGGTTGGGGCACGTCTGGTGTTTGCTTTGGACGCTTAAAGTTTGGATTCTCGTAACCGGAGATCTGTGGTGCTAAGGTTGGTGCTGGGGCCATTCCATAGAAACTGGGCATGCCTGAAGGAGGCGGACCACCTTGAGAGGGTGGGCCCTGAGAAGGTGGACCTTGAGAGGGGCCAGATGGACCAAAGCCTAGAGGGGGTGGCCCTTTCCATCCTGGCGGTGGACCTTGCATAGGATTCGATCGACCGCCTGGAGGGCCGCCTGGATGACCACCCGGAGGACCACCCGGAGGACCACCTGGGGGACCACCTGGCGGTCCCATGTTACCAAGACCGGGAATTCCAGGTCGAGGTCGCCAACCACCATCTGCTTCGACTTGTCGAACCTTTCGTGCTCTGTCTTTGACAGTGAAGTCTGCAACGCGGCCTAGAAGGAGTAGGAGATGATCGTGACTGCCGTATAAAGCATCGAGTCGGCCGAGCGGGGATCTTGGAGGACAATCAGACCATTTGTGATACGGGTGACTGCTACTAATTAGCTGCAACTCTGAAAATCATCAGGACCACCCACATGAGAGCACTTCCGCTTACGATGCTCTGAAAAACATCATGTCTAGCAAACGACCAAAAAAGATCTTGAAGAGTTGCATAGGTATTGAGATCCAGTCCACCGGTAATACTTGGCTTCGTATCATGTCGTGCCCCATCGTCCTCGAAAACCATGCCAAAGTCGTCGTAGTTAACCTTGTTTCCAACAATGGTGCTCACCAGATTTTGATCTGGCATCAGTGAACTTTCTTTCAATTTCAGGTCGAATTGTCTTTGGTCGATAAGCATCGCTGGGTTCTGGTAGGGGAATTGCCGCTCCATTGCAGTTTGTGCAGCCTGCATTCGTCGTGCCTCGCGAGTAAGCGAGCGGAAGTCGAGCTCAGTAATGAGTTGCTGAGCGCCGACAACATGCGTGCCCCATTTAACGTGTTCTGCCGTCCATACCTCATACCAAGCCAGAAGTAAGGAGTTTGCCAGCGTGAGCATAGATAGACGTTTTGTCGGGTGTGAAAGCGAGCGAACAAGACGTTTGAGCGAGTATGCATAATGCTTGTAAGATGGTGTGACCGACGCTCCTTGCAATCGTGCAATGTGCAGACTGGCAAGTGCCAGCATTGCATGTAACAGGCCCTGGTGGTTCAAAGCCTTCAATGGGAGTTTGTACGTCCATAGTCCCTGTTGAGATGGCGGTGTTGCGCCTTCGAATATCAAAGTCGGGTCTCTTGGGTTTCGTTCGAAAATCGATAGTGTTGGTGCTGTCTGTCAAGTTTATCAGCTACTTGCTCGAAACTGTGTCCAAGTACGTATACATCAAAGAGAGAGTTTATTTTCCCGCATAAAGAGTACAAAGCCCAAGAAGTTGTATTTCACTTACCACATGAATGAAATGTGCAAACACTCGAGCTGTCTTCGGGTTGCGCAAGGGACTTGCCGCATATTCAGGCTTATAGTGCGACAGAAGGCCATCGTATAAAAAGGCATCATAGCGTCGGATCCCTAGCTCGTTGGAGTTCTCCAAATGTATACGCCGGATGGCGCTGAATTCCTGGCTCGTGAGCAGTGCATTCTCGTCCTCCCCAGTCTCTGCATCAATCATGTCTTCATCTGAATGAACGTCCCAGTAATCGTCGTCCTCATATTCTACTGCCGCCTCGTCGAGCACTTGTGTAGGGCTAGCATGATCTTCGCCACCGAATCCGCTAAGAAGTAGTTGTGGATGGGATGCTGGGGGCTTTGATACGTGTGTAACCTCCTCTGCTCATCACAGTCAGCCATCCCATTCGTTCCCATATCGATGGCATCGATAGCTGTTAGGACACGATATTAATTCCAATATGGATTGGAGAATTTAGAAAGCATGCACCACATTGATTAAGTGATGCTGCGCCGGTACTGAGACACGGAGAAAGAGAAGAAGAAGAAGAGAAGAAAAAAAAGATAATAATAATCATTGGGGTATAAGAAGTATATAACTAGACACGAGACATACCGAGAACAGGCTGTGGCATATGCTTTACATCCTGATTCATATCATAAGGCAACGGAACGGCAGAGTAATTTGGATAGCTAAAGTCAGTGTGTGAAATCGCCGGTTGAAGATTATAACTTTCAGATTGCGATGAATGGAGAGCAACGTGGGGAAGACTGTTAAATCGCTGAAAGCCCGGCCTTGCCTCCGCGTTTTGAGCAAACTGATCGCTCTGTGGCGAAACACTAGATTGCTGTTGGTAAGCATTATCAGGATCTTGCAGGCTATCCGACCGATATGCGTGTGGATACACCTGCTGGCCAGAAAGAGGCGGAGGGCCTACTGGCTTCAATTCGTGATCACTGCTATATGGAACAGAGACGGGTGGATATGAAGAGCCAGAATTGTACGGTAATGATTGTTGAGAGCTTGTATTGGGTCCCTGGCCGAGCTGCTCTGATGGGTTTATATGCACAGGAGATTGCTGGGGAAAGTATGATACGGTCGATGGATGGGCGTGTGCTTGGTGGTGGGGAGATATGAGCGGCTGTTGGTGGGGTGGTGAATGTAGAGGTGGTTGATAAGTCTGCTCGTGGGTATAGTTGAGATTGCCGCCAACAAACGGCTGTGGCGGTGGTGGAGGCCCAGCACCTGGTTGTGGGTCGACATGTTGGAAGTCGAAGTTGCCAATCGGTCGTGGCTGGATCGAGGTGAGGGTTGTTTCTGGTATAGGGGTACTTGGCTCTGGTCCTCGATATGGTTGATTGCGTGTGCCTGGTAGCATCGAGGTGTGATATTGTATGGTGCTGACTACCCCTGGGTGATTTGGCCAGTCTCCCATGGGTGGCTTGAAGATGACTCTTTGGTTGTATCCTTCGCACTGGCGTTTAGACTTGATGCAGTTTGCGCAGGTAGGTCTCTCTTCACCACATTTTATGCGTCGTTTTCTACAGGTGAGGCAGCCAGTCTTGGTCCTCTTTCTCATCTTGGGGTTTGATGCAGAGCCAGAATTCCCAGCTGGCGGGACTTCGTCTGCCCCTCCGGAGGATGAAGCTGCAGCCTGAGCACTCGCCATTTCTTCAAGAGATGGGAAGATTGGGCAGGATAGAGTAGATACTGGGGTGGGTTTAGTAGGGTGAAGATGAAATCAGGATGAGGTGCAGGGCGGGATGGATGGCATACCTCGGGATTGCTTGGATCTGGGGACCAGCAGCAGGAAATGGCGAAATGTTGTTGGTTCGTTCGGGAGGCGGGTGGAGCAAAGCCGGAGAAGGTCGACTTGGCAAAAAAAGCCAAACTGCTAAGTGGAAGTTTCGAGTGAGGAATCAGCGACAAGGCAGCCGAACTGGTCAATTGGCTGATGGGGTAGTAGAAGTATGGTCTTGTTGTTGGAGGTCAAGGCCTCGTATAAGAAACCGAAGCAGATAAACGGGGTCGGTCTTCGAGGCCGGCGGGAACCATGTGGAGTCAGGGCTCTAGAGTTAGTTATAACGATGGCGGGAAGCACGCACCAGGTACCAGAGGCCGCTTGTCAAGTTGAAAAAAAAGGGATTCAGCGGCACTTATTGCCGCTGTTCGTACAGGACGGGAGGCTGTAGGTCAATGGTGGCGTGCCCACGATGGCCACATCAGGCGTCAAGAAACCAGACAGAGTATGGATAGTCTAGAACTAGAAATGGGGCTATACTTTTCTTGGGAGGGAGGGGGTGTGGGAGAGAACAAGGTACATGGGGGGCGCGTGTTGATTCAGGGTGAGCAATGGGCGTATGGCGCAGAAAGAACGGGTGTGGACACGGACTTTGGGATGTCTAGAAGGGAAGGGCAAAAAGGCATGTTTCGATTCGGCAGCGGTGGTGCGATGTGTCTTCGGAAGAGGTGGAACTAGACCGGGGGTTAAGGGAAGGCTTGCGCTATGACTGTGGAGAGGGCCGCCCGCAGGAATAGAGATGAAGATGGGGGGCGGGCTTGTGGAGGGATCAACGGATCTGAGGCCGGGTAGGCTAGGGAGAGGGGTACATGCTATACTACCTATACGACTCTGGAGTAAGATGGCATCAGTCCAAAGGGGGATTGGCAGACGGCGTGCCTGGGTTTGATTCAAGGGCGATGCATGCAGAGACTCAAAGGTTGTCTGGCAACGAGCGTTGTGGGCGATGGCCGGGGCGAGGAACTGCAAGTGAATTGAAGCTAGCCTTGTCCATGCTTTGCCGAGGATGCTCACACTCACATGGCCAGGAGCAACTTTTGTCCACCCTCTCTCTCTCTGGCTACTCTTGCTTTCCCCACACCCAAGCGACGGCAGTATTATCACCAGCATCACCGCGGCCGACGCCGATGACGCCGCCTCCGCCTCCACCTCCGCCGCCATCGTTATCATCGTCATTTCCATTGCTGTTCTTCTTGATGCTATCACCATTCTCACCATGCCCGTCATCACCACCACCACCGTCATCTGTGGCGTCCAAGGTTTTGCTCGTGCGGCAGTCCGTGGCGGGCTGCAGGGAAGACGAGGCATGGTATGCGGAACCTGACGAAAGCCTGCCTTGCTTCTGTCTCGACATGGCCAAGTCTGATGGTGCTGCGCTGTGCTGACAAGGCACAAAAGACAATGTGTGCGGCTGTCGGTCACGTACATGGGCTTTCTGGTTAGAGTTTGCGCCTGCGTTTGGGCATTGGACGTCTCTGGTCGACGGCGGCAGCTGAAGACGACTTGCCCGTGGAGTACTCGCCCTGTCGGCGTCAAAATAGCGAGGTCAATTGCCACCACTCTCTGCTGCTGCTGCTCGACGCTCGACCGGGCCCTGTTGGCTTTGATACCTGGTGGGTGCAGGGGGGGGGGGAACTTGGGTGCAGGGGTATGGCGTGGATCGACTGATGGCGTCAACCACCCTACCGGACTCTTTTGGAACGTGAACTCTCTCCAGTATCCCATGTCCAGACCACGCTATCAGTCTCTAGGCCTTGCCGTCATGTCTGCTGCAAGTCCTGACAAGGTCCAAGCCAGCTGAACTTGCCCACCCTTACCAGGCTCTGCAATCATACGCCTCTGTCTGTACGCTTTTCAACTGCTCGTGTGCTTTGTGTGTATGGGCTTGGTGTGGGTCCGTCACCTGTGTGCCAGCTACGCTCGACACCAGCTCTCCAGCTCTTCTTCACACACACATACACACCCACATCCAGCGCACGCTGCAACGACCCAAGCCACATTCGTAGACAGCGCGCCTGAGCGACTTCGGACTTCCGGCTCTGGTTGGTCCGTCACGGAAAGTAGCCATTGCCAGTGCCCTGGTGGGGCCGTCGACTGGCCTCCTTTTCGTCTTGGCCGCTCAGCTCCGTTCGTACTCGACAGTGCGAATGCGGTCACCAAACAACTGCCAATCCATCACCAGCCTCACCCATGGGCGCTAATGCAAGACGCTGCGTCTTCACACCACTTTGTCCCTAGTGCTGCGTCTGCACCACTAACCCGAGTCAGCCACAAAGACAATTCTGCCTTGATTTCCTTTTCAAAGTCACTGCCAGAAGGGAAAAGGTGTTAGCCGCCGTTGACTGATAGGGCAATATATTGGCCCGCTCGGCGCAACTGTGCATCGTATCAGCTCAATAGCCACTCGAATAGGTGACCGGTTTGACGGCAGCGGGTCGACTTCCCGTCTCCGATGAGCGCTCTCTACAAGAGCTATCCTTGCATCACAATCAGTGCCCTAGAGTGACGTCTTTCAGGCCTTCCACCGCTACAAACAGGGGTTGGGGCGGCCTTAGCTCAGGCAAGCTTCCGAACCCGAGATCCTGCACTTGACAATCTAGCTGCAAAAGCAGTCCAGTTTCCAAGTCGTCGGGAGACTCCTCCGACCCTGAAAAACATTTTTGGGCGCTACCGAATGGCGAGTCTGCGAGAGACCAGCCGAAAAACCCCCCTTCTCCCACCCTCCGCAAGCTATACCCAGCGCTGTCAAGTCCATCTCTGACCTACCACCACCCAGCATTCAAAGCAGTGATACTGACCCACTCATGTCGCGTGCTAATTGTGCAAGGATATGAAGTTTGTTCATCCCTTGGCTTCCACGAGGCATGCACTGGGCCTGCGGCGAGGAACGGATCCAAGCAGAGAGCCCTGTCCTCCCAAGCGGCAAACACTAGCCATTGAACCCTGGATTTCGGAGCCTACCCTACTGCGTGCTTTGGTACCCTATCCGACTTTCGCTTAGTACTCTGAACGGCCGGGTGACAGACACGACCCGCATTCACTTGAGCCTTTCCGTAAGGTATTGCGAAGAGCATGTGACCTGGATGAGTTCTCCTATCATCGCAGAGCAGCGTCACCCGTGGCTTTGGATTGGTGCAATTCCCACCGTTCCTTACAGGCCACTATCCCTGCTGGCGTATGTATCTTGGGCACTATGCGATGCCAACGGGAAAGATGCATGACTTCAAAATTACCATTCTCTTGAACTGCTTTTTTTGACTGGCGCATGTTTCAGACATCCCCCCGTCTCACTAGTATCAGCGACCAATGTCGTTAGGTTTTGAAGACGCCTGCTGTATTGTATGTATGCGCCCGGACTTTTTCTAAAAGTCCCTCGAAGAGTTCGCCTCCATGCACATGCACTGGTCTCTTACTGCAGGGACAAGGTAGGTTTGCTAAATTCCCTGTGCAGGACCCGTCTGCCATACTGTCATGTCCCATTTGGAGGCGGTTCAACTCAATGCATCTATTTGGGGCCATACTACCGTCGCAGGCTAGATACTAGAGTAGGTTGCATATCTCTATTGGTCGCATCTGGTACCCAAGACGTCACAACAGTATCATGAGTGTTGCAGTTCAATCAAGTGTTCTCTTTGACTGTGTGTACGTACGACAGAATCCAACCCAGCTTCGAGTAGAGCTAACGCTGCCCCAACAGACGCCGCTACTAGACGCCACAAGTCTGCGCCATAGTCTCATTCATGTCCGTCACAGGCGAGTGGCGTTCCAACTGGCCGCTATAGAGCAAATATGTCCGTCCCAACACCCAAGGAATCCTCATTCCAAGATTCTGGCACTCGGAATCCTGCCGTGGGGATGGGGGACGGGAGAGGAAACGAGGCGTACCCGCAAGTCGCTTCATTGTTTTACTTATCGGCTACCCATGTCGAGAACCCTGGTATATTTCAGGCACGTTATTACAACGACACTTCATACTCTTGCACACAAGTCGACCTTTTTGACTTCAATTGCGCCGATACACCAGTGCCTTGTATCACATCCTTGCAATGTATGGATTTCAAATAACCTTCATTTGCTTTTGGACGTTGTTCTATGCTAAGCCTACCATGTTCACCTGCTCATCATCATTTCAATGTCACCATTTCCTTCACATATGACCACGGGAAATTGCACCATGTTTGAGATAGCCCAAACAGTCAGTCCTTCGGTGGATTAGTAGTCAGGTAGGTGATCATTATCGAATCTCCGCTGCCATATGCATTCTTTTTTGTTGATATTTGATTTTTTATTTTATTTTTTTTTTGGGGGGGGGGCACGGTACCAAGACTAAATGTCAAACAAATCCGAAGGCTCTCATCTATTGTCTGTGGTATGTCATCCTTTTTCTTCGGAGACTAGCCACCCGACTCTTTTGTTATTTACATTGTTCAGCTGCGTGATTAACATGACCAATCTTTGGAACAATCAAGTTAGACTTCGTATCAGTTCAGACGGTGCACCTTGCTGCAACCAGGTTTTTGTTTTCAACACTCTCGATCTCAATGAAGGGTTTGTAAGAGTTCCGACATGGCATGTGATTGTAGCTGGTTCAAAATCTCTGTTGCAGTCTTGTTGCTACTGTGGAAAAAAGAAATATGTGGATGTTTGTTTTTTCACGTCCCTCAATTTGCAATGGTCCCCTCCTTTTCTCTAGTGCATCTTTTACCTGCCTCATCTGTTTTCGTTCTAAACCAACAGAACCTTCTTCTGAGACGCAGGTAGATTCTTTGTCCAACACGTAGCCATATCTGCTAACTCGCTGTACCTTCTTCACTTCAACAATGACTCTCATCCCCAAACCCCGCATGACAAGCGAGCTGAGATCTCAGAAATGAATGGTATTCTAAATATACACAAACTTCTTTGCAGCTCTTGTCGAAGTAAGGAACGCTATTTTGGGAAAAATCCAGTACACGCAGTTAACCTTATTGGCAAACCATAACGCAGCAGAAAACAGAGGTTAGCGTCTCAGAAACTTTTAGTTCAGAATACTTGCATCCGCAAAATACTGTAGAGTCACGTCTTGTTTAACACGTGCGAGTACAACAGCCCTGCAGTAAGGACAATTGCCAGAGTAGGAATCAGATATATGTGCTGTGCGACGTATTGAGGTACCTTAGGAACCACACGTGTGAAGCCCACTGATCTGTAATATAAGATGGCCTGGATTTAATAACCGGTACGTATTCATGGTTGTATATGGGCTATACCTATATTTGCTATGTGCGTAGCTGAGAGCACATGAATGTTTCTTGTCTTGGTTTTCAAACATTCTCTCTCCTTGGTGCTAGAGCGTCCTGTACACGACTATACCGGGCTACAGAAAGCCATCTCACTTCTCTGACGCTTCATTGCCTCTCAGTTTTGTGTTGCTGCTTCCATATTAGCTATGGATATCTGCGGAACACAACACATGTGTACAATACATCATTATTCGTAAGAGAGATAGGTTCAATATATTTTTCAGAGACAGGCAGCAGAAAAGGTAGGTACTAGTTTAGGTCTGATTCTTTGCAACAAATCAGAATGTGCACAGATTGCATTGCTTACGCAATTTTCTCACACAATGAATATGGGTTTTGTCTGTTGGCAAAGGATGCCATTTGTGTATTATTACGATAACATGCGAGTCCTTACGTCCTTCACTCAAGCCCCAGATTGGTTTCACTCTTCACATTCATCTCACCACTTAAGATACTACGTAATACCTTTCTTAGAGTATTTCGGAGTATATTCAGTAGGATCTTTGGACAAGGAGGCAACATTTCGTTGCCTGCAGGTGAGCTGTGAAGCGAACTACGCATGCAGAGTACAAAATTGATGATCCCTTTTGCAACTATAAGCCTAAACAGGCAACTTGTGAAAACATGAAATATTTATCTCGGTAAACAAGTCGATAATCGAACATAGAGGGTGCAAGGACGACCAACTTGTAAAAGCGGAAACCCGAGGCACGTCCCCAATCGGAGAAACCCCGGCTTCATCCCCAAAAGTCCCCCGTCGCATTGTCGCGAAACAGCTCGAACCAACAGCTACAGCGACTCCCGCTCTCATCGTCCTCGACGACAATTTACTCTCTCCACGCGCCCGACGCGCCAAACAACGCAAACATGGCCGCCGCCGAAGCCGAAGTCGCAGACGCGCTCTACAACCTACGACTCAGCATCAAAGCCAACGCAATACCCATCCTCACCACAAGCGCAACGCCCACACCCGCAGATACCGTCACTGATCTCGCCCAAGCAACGCACATCTCGTTCAATTTCGATTCGGGCCAACACCGCAACTTTTCTCTCAACACACCCACGCGGTTCGCGCCTGATGGCAAGCCCGTTGACTTGCGCAGCTGCTACTTTGCATGGCTTAACAAGGATGCCTCCGTTACGGATTACTTTGCCGCCGTGCAGACGCTGAACGAGGAGCTGCCAAGTGGTGCAGGAGGCAGCGTGCAAAACCTGACGTTTGCACAGAAGATTGAACTGATTGCCTGGCTGAGTGGAGAGACGGAGAGCAGTGACAGTATTGCTGCTGTAGATGGGGGTGCTCTCAGCGCTGCGGCGGGTGACGCTGCTGCCATTGCGGGTGGGAAGGGAGTTCCAGTTGATGGTGGCAAGGGCATCAAGGTAGGAAGTGCAGGAGGCATGATGGATGCGCGATTACTTCAGATTTACGATGGAGAGAGGAAAATGGGAGATCACAACAGCGTGTTGAGGGGCACCAAGAACGTCGTACGTATACAATCTACTGAGTGAAAAGACTCACGAATGAATACGATGCTAACAAGCACTCCCTAGGACTTCTCCCCCTACCGCAAAATCGCTGCAACCTTCCTGCGCGCTCGCCCCTCGGACCCCAAAGTCCCCGCCCCCCAACCCGCCCTCGTCGCAAACCTCCAAAAGCGACCTCAGCGCCGCCTCCAACCCATCATCCTTCTCTCCCCCTCTGCCTCCTCTCTCCTCCGCACTTCAAACGTAAAAACCTTCCTCTCCGACGGCGTCTTCGTACCCCCCAACACAACCGACTCGTCATCCACGTCCGCCAGCGCAAACATGATCCAAATCCAGCGTCTCCTCCCCTCAATATCCTCGCAGCCCCTAACCTTCATCTGCGTCGACAGCACCGCATCCTTCAAACCCACGTATTGGAGCCGTGTTGTCGGCATCTTTACCACGGGCCAACTCTGGCAGTTCAAGTCGTACAAGTACACGCAGCCTGCGGAGCTCTTTGCCAACTACCCAGGTATCTATGTTGGGTGGAGTTCAGAGGAGCCGCCGGAGACGGTCAAGCAGCTCGGTCGTGGTGTGTTGCCTGTGGCTGTGGATAAGTGGACGGGTAGCGAGAAGGGGAGGTGGAGGGATAGAGAGGTTGTGGAGAGGATTTGGGGCAGGATTGAGGATGGCATGCGTAAGGGTGGGTGGACGAGGGACGGACCTGGATTGGCTGGGCCCCAGACACGGTAGAGATTGGGTGTTGGAGATTCATTAGTACATGCATATGGTATATGTGTGTATGGGTGATGTGGGATATCCGTCTTCTCTTTTCTTCATATGGGTGTTTTGGGCGTTGTAAAATGATGCGCGGAATAGCATAGCGTGACATGCTTTGTGAAAAGACATACCAAATCAAGAGGTGATTAATCGAGGAAAAGATTGCCTGTTACTACTGGTACGCATTTTGGAAAAACGACTCTAATGTCAAAACTTTGGTATATTCATTTCATTTCACTTCATTAATTAGCTTCATAACATGATTATCCGAAGCCCAGAGCAGGAAGCATCCTCCTCACTGATATGAAAACAAAAAAACCCGACCCTGCCCAAACAAAAAAAACCAGTCCGAAGACGAAACAACTTTTTTTGACCTCATATCCCTTCATTATGTTTACCACTCAAGCGGCTCCTTGAGCTCCTCGCCCCTGTTGGTCTTGGGCACAGGTTGCGCCTGAATCTTAACTGGACCCCTACCATGCCTCTTCAGGTAGCCACTGCCGTCCAGCCACGGCCAGACCGCAGTGCGCTTCTGCTCGTGCTTCTCAATCTTGTCAACGCTTGCCATGGTAAGGCCAATGTCGTCCAGACCGTTGACAAGGCAATGTTTCCTGAACTCCTCGACGTCGAACTTCGCAAGCTCGGTACCATCGGCAGAGCGAATGACCTGGTTGGGGAGATCGACTTCAATCTCCTTGCCGGCACTCGCTTCATCAGCGATACGCTGGATGGTAGCTACATCTTCGATGCGGATGGGAAGCATGCCGTTCTTGAACGTGTTGTTGAAGAAGATGTCGCCGAAAGAAGGGGCAATAATGCACTTGATACCAAAGTCAAGCAGAGCCCAAGGTGCGTGCTCTCGACTTGATCCGCAACCAAAGTTGGGTCCAGTGCAGACCAGAATCTTAGCGTTGCGGTAGGGCTCCTTGTTCAGGACGAAGTCTGGGTTTTCCTTGTCACCACCGGCTTCGTAGCGCCAGGCGTGGAAGAGTGCACTGCCAAGGCCAGAGCGCTTGATGGTCTTGAGGAATTGCTTAGGGATAATTGCATCAGTGTCAATGTTTGCAATGTCCATGGGCGCTGCGTATCCGCGGAGAGTTTCGAACTTGGGCATGCCGGCGGGGGCGTTTTCTGTGCTGGGCGTGTTGGAAGCAGTGTGCTGTGGTCCTGAGCTGGGCTGGTCCATGAGTTTATCAAACTCCTCATCGCTACTTGGGGCCTCTACATGAGCGTCAAGTTCAATCTTCGGCGAGCCCTTGGCTGCTGTTGAGGTTTCCGGTGCGAGTTTTCGTACGTCGGCCAGGTTTCCTACAATGGCGGCAGCGGCTGCCATAGCGGGCGACATCAGATGAGTTCGGCCACCAGCACCTTGTCGACCCTCGAAGTTACGGTTTGATGTTGACGCACATCGTTCACCGGGAGAAAGAATGTCGGGGTTCATGCCGAGACACATTGAGCATCCAGCCTCTCTCCACTCAAATCCAGCATCAGTGAAGATCTTGTCTAGGCCTTCGGCTTCCGCCTGCTTCTTGACAAGACCAGATCCAGGCACGACCATGGCGCGCTTGATGTTTGAGGCAATCTTCTTGCCTTCTACGATCCGTGCAGCAGAGCGCAAATCTTCAATGCGAGCGTTGGTGCAAGATCCGATGAAGATCTTGTCCAACGAAATCTCTTGCATGGGGGTACCAGCAGTCAAGCCCATGTATTTCAGGGCACGCACGCACGCCGCCTTCTTGACTTCATCCTGAAAATCATCGGGGCCAGGCACAACTCCAGTAATGGGAACGACATCCTGGGGAGAGGTACCCCAAGAAACTGTTGGGGCAATGTCCTTTGCGTCGATCAAGACCTCGATGTCGTACTTGGCACCCTCGTCTGATTTCAGGCCAAGCCAGTAGCTGCATGCCTTTTTCCATTCTGGGCTGTCGACCTTTGGTGCCAATGGCCTTCCCTTAAGGTAGTCAATGGTGGTCTGGTCGGGTGCGATCATGCCAGCTCTTGCGCCTCCTTCGATGGACATGTTGCACATGGACATGCGCGCCTCCATACTCAAACCGCGAATAGCCGAACCACAGAATTCGATGACGGCACCAGTTCCTCCAGCTGTGCCAATCTTACCAATGACATGCAGAATGATGTCCTTGCTACCGACACCAGGGCCCAGTTCGCCATCGACTTGGACCTTCATGTTTTTACTCCGCTGGGTAATGATGGTCTGTGTCGCCAGGACGTGCTCAACTTCACTCGTACCGATACCAAAGGCGAGGGCACCAAAAGCGCCATGTGTAGATGTGTGGCTGTCGCCACATACGACTGTTGTTCCGGGAAGCGTGAAGCCTTGTTCCGGTCCGATGATGTGGACGATACCCTGCCTCTTGTCGTCGAGGCCAAAATATGTGAGATCGAACGCCTTGACGTTTTCTTCGAGAGTCATGCATTGTAACCGGGAATCGGCCTCTTCGATGAACTTCTCCGTCGTGGTAAGGTTTTTCCGTGACGCAGTAGGGATGTTCTACTCATGTTAGCAAGTGGATGGTTTATGAGGATCCATAACGTACATGGTCTACTGTTGCAAGAGTGCAGTCCGGTCTTCGTACTTTACGGCCGGCATTTCGGAGGCCTTCAAAAGCTTGCTGTAGGCGGTTGGTAAGTTTTGGAGAGAATTGTATAGATTCCGGAGATTGCCTACTGGTGATGTCACTTCGTGGACAAGATGTCTGTCTGGAAATTTGTCAGTGGAAATAATTTGAAATGTATGGGACAACACATACCAATGTAGAGCAAAATTGTGCCATCCTCCTTCTCTTCAACGATATGGTCCTCAAAGACCTTGTCGTACAAGGTCTGCGGTTGTTTCACAGCAGACGGCATAGTGGAGATATAAAATGTAGGTCGTACAACAAGGTAAATTTGGGATTAGAGAAATAAGAACTGAGGGGGTGAAGAGAGTGAGATGTGAGATGGCAGACACAGATCTTAAAGGGCAGATATCGGCTTAAAAGACGCGCATGTGGAACTCAAACCGATGGATGGCGAACAAGACACAAAAAGAAGCTGGCCGATGTTCGGAGTTGCGGTGGGAGGGGCACCGCCACCAATCACATGGCGAGTGATGACTGCGCACTCTAACGCCCACTGCCGGCCGGGCTGCGGTATTTTGCGGATGGCCAGGGTATTCCGGGGCGGACGATGGCTAACAACGCGGTACTAGACCAGAAGTACAGTACATGTGGAAAGGTAACCTTGCAGCGCAACTCCAATGGCGTAGTAAGAGCCAGTCAAGGTACAGAGCATATCCGAGTCGGTGACGAAGCTCAAGCGCTGCCAGCCGCCGCTGTCACTGCCCCGCATTCCAACTGCCCCGCTGTAAGGCCTTGGCAGACGACTTGCACAGTCAGCCTCTTTTTCAATACTCCGATTCGCCACCTCGACATGTAAGAGCCACGGATACTCGACCGCGTACAACATGGGCCGTAGTAAGATCATGCTGCCGCCATGTTCCGGGGCGACTTCGTGTCGCCCAGTATCACGCTGTAAATTGCTGTCAGAACACACGCTGATGCTCGGTATTATACATCAAAGTCTAAATATCAACCACCAATGGACGCCGTTATGCCACGCAAGCCAAAGTTGACGAAATCTGCCATCCCAAACCGTCTACAGGTTATCAGCAGTGAAGATAAGCAATGCCATCCGATGCCGAACAAACAGGCCCAAGATGCCAATGGCGAACTGGAATACCAGCAGACCCATGGCCAGCCGATCCTCCCGCATCGGCCCAAACCACACCAGCCATAAATTGATTAGCGTCCAGTTACTTGACGAAACCACCTGCCCTTCTGCATTCACTTCAACATCCAGCATCCGAAGCCGGTGTAGCACCTTGAGACTCTCCGCTATCGGTTTCCGTAGCGGTTTGGTAAATTCAACGCGCGAGGGCTCCAGTAATCCAGTCCGTGCATTGAAACGGGGAAGCCGATGTCGGGGGCACGGAATGACATGGAAGATTTGGGGTGCCGAGTAGACAAAGTTGAATGCTTGTGGTACAAGGAGCAATATCAGCGTTTTGCTGAAGTGCCCGAGAATTGCAACAACGGCAAACACCATGCCTGCAAAGTAGCAGTATGTGTCACCCACAAATACTTTTGCAGGATACCAGTTGTGCATCAATAGCGCAACAGAGACTCCAATAAAGGGAAGTAGAAGGTACAGTGAAAACAGATGAGAGTCTGTCGCCGGGTGAGGGTAGGGTGTAAAGGGCGAAAGATAAAGTATGTCGTTGATAACAATCAGAACTGCAATGACCACCGACTGAGCCACTTCGATGCCGTTGATGCCTGCCAAAATGTTGATGCTGTTGGAAGAGAAAATGGACATGAGTGCCATGTAGACATAGTACAACCATCCTGTATTAAGTCAGCATCCAGATAATGCACTGAGCTTCCGACAAAAGGCATACCGAGATCGAACAACTCGCCCAGGTAAGGCCTTAGTGGAACAGGGACAACCATTTGCGTGACGCCAAAGTCGACAAAGTACACAACCAGCATGGGGATAACTGCAAAAGCTGGGATGAGCACCTTATGGCGCCATCTTATGTCGAACAAGTCATCGCCAACACCGAGCAGCACAATAGTCTGAAGTGAGAGAATGGCTGATAAATACGATGCAAGCTTGTTGTGAGGAAACCTGTGCAGAAGTCTGCCCGTCTCGATTAATTCCAGTTCCTTGATGATATCTCTGTTGCCACCCCCTGAGGTTGCGACCACAATGTCCTTGTAGAATGGCCATGGGATGAAAAAGATGATAATGAAGAGATACACCATTGCGCACACTGCTCCCATCATCTCCGGTCTGTTCTCATTAGCAAGATGCAGTGATCAGGGGAAGGCTTGGCACCTACATCTCAGTCTGCTTCAGCTTACAGAGATCCTTTCCTTTGAAGCCACGCTTCATAAAGGCATCCCCGAGCCATCGGATTAATGCATAGCAGGATACGAACGCCAATCCGCTGAATGCTATCGACGCAACTAGCGGCTCACCGTCACCGTGAAGCGTGTTTGCCAGCACACCCGCGCATGCGACTGACAAAGACAACAGTGAAAGTGATTCTGCCCATGACAATACGCTCGTCATCTTGACCGTAATGTGAATCAAAAAGTCGAGGTGACGGCGGATCTTGGCACGTGAGTTGCAGTCCGCCGTTTGCTCTCGCGACAATATCAACAGCAGACCTGTGCCCTCGACTCAGCACCGTCGAAACGACACCTCTCCACACTTGCGAACCTCGCCGCGTCGAACCTCAATCCGGACTTGCGTGGAGTGCTGAGAAGGTGTTGAAACTGACAAAGAAACACAGAATAGGCCTTCAACCCACAACGACCGATCCTAGCTTAGCCTGCAGGGTGAGCGAGCAGCAACCAAAGGAGAAAAAAAGCAATTTGCGCAGAGTAGCGAACGCGGTGTATTGGTGAGCAGAACTTCTTGCAAGGTGTTGTTTTGCCATGGTCCGGCTTCTTCCTGCTCTACTAACCCGAAACGTTAGACCCACGAACATTGGCACCCATCATGACCAACAACACCCAGGCAGGCCGCTCTGCAAGGCCCGACCCGTTCCTGGACGAGCTCAATGCCGTGAGCCAACATCTTGCAACCCCGGGTTTCCTTCGACGGTTGACTACGTCCCAACTGCCTTCTGCAGCGGTTAGCGAGTCGTCTTCGCTCAGCCCCACCCGAGAAGAAGCACGGTTGCCTCATCCCCCATCCAATCTCAACCTCGCCGTTTCGTTCGAGGATGAGATTGAGCACGTGGACTTGATCGCTCCGTTGATTCAAGAGCCTTGTGCCGACGGCAGCCCAGGCCACATTGATCAGCAAGTCGTCCATCACCTCGAAACTGCCTTTGTGGCTGCGCGTCGCACCTATCAGACCATGGCGGCTGAGCGTAGTTTTCAGACCTTCTCGCATGGCCACCAAGACCTCGTGCTTGCCGTCGACTTCAACTACTTTGGTACGCGCATGGTCACGGCGAGTTCCGACCATCGCCTCAAGGTCTGGGACAAGAAGGACGATTCGTGGACCCTGGTTGAGAGCTGGAAGGCTCACGATGCCGAGATAGTTGATGTGAGTGATCTCATTGTCAGCTGCAAGCCTCGTTTAGCTTGTCTGCATGTAATTTGCCACCTTCACAACTTGTGGCTAATCCAATGCTAGGTCAAATGGAACGGCCCCTTCATGGGTGAAGTTGTCGGCAGCATCGGAGAAGATGGCCGCTGCAAGCTTTGGCAAGAGGATGTCACTGAAGTTGCCTTGTCTGGCAATCGTTTCAAGTTGCTCTACAATCTTGCTTCGCTAACCAATGCTCCCTTCATGTCTTTGGACTTCAAGAACATCATGCAGGAGACATGGCTCGCGCTCATTACGCGTGATGGCTATCTGACCGTGTACGAGCCTCAAGATCAGAGCAACCTCCACGAGTGGACCATCTTGGCCGAGCGCTGGGTTTCTGAGAACAACCCTCCTGAGCGACAAGAAGAGGTTGGCTTCAAGGTCGTTTTCCACAAGGAGAAGCTCCCATGCTGGACCGCTATCACTGCAGGCCTTGATCGCAAGTCACTGTCCCTCGCCGTTGCTGCCATGAAAGACGTCTTGATCTTCCGTACTGATAAGGCTAAGCGATTCTTCCAAGTCGCAAAGCTCACCGGCGCGCGTCAAGTTATTCGTGATTTGGCTTGGGCCAACGGTTCCATGCGCGGTTATGATATCTTGGCAACTGCTAGCAAAGATGGTGCTATCCGCGTCTACGAGCTCACTACAACCACTGCAGACAAGGCACACGCATCTGGAACTTCCTCATCGGCTGTCGCGCCATCTGTATCGTCCCGCGTGGGTCTCAAGCACAGTGCGCAGTCTGGCATAGGAGCTGGGCTGGCTGGTGCTTCTAAGGCACCGGCCATGTCTCTCGAGAACGAACAGAACCCTGGTCGCATTACTCAGGAAGTTGCCTTGAAGGATGAGCTCACTGGACACCATGGAGCTGTCTGGCGCGTCGCTTTCTCCCAGATGGGTATGTGTTGATCAGATCTGTAGCTTGGCAGTGCTAACAAATATCCTTAGGTGATCTCCTTGTGACTACCGGCGATGATGCCAGCATCCGTACCTGGAAGCAGGCAGCCAACGGTCACTGGATGGAGTACGCTCAGATCGAGACTGCTCAGGACAACTAACCCATCGTGCTAAGTTCGGTCTTTACAAACATTTCCACACGCCACGTCGATGGTACGAGGTTTGGTTTAAGGCATTTCAACGGCGTTTACGGTATTGACGGGTTAGACACATCGATCGGGTGCAACGACCCCTGCCTCTCATTACAGATCGTGACTCCTTGAATCACGACATATGGCAATGAGGTCTCAGGGAAAGCGCTCCTTCTGAGGGATACCCGCGTTTTCTTTCCGGAGACTTCAGGGATTGAGCATCGATGGACAGTGTAATGTGCTATGTACAGCAGCCTCTTTTGCAGGGTTTCCGCTCACAGCGATGGACCTGCTACTACTACTGCTGCTTTTCTTCATTTCGGGTTTCCAAATACCCCACGGCTATGATGCCATTCATGGTGGGAACTGCGAGTGCTTACGGGATCTTCGTGTACTTTATATGGGCATGATGAATTGAATGATAACTAGACTTGACAGCATGTTCGGTGATGTGTAAACAGGGAGAGTTCTCAAGCTCTGACTCGGTGTTCTACTGTTGGTTTGTGGGTTGTCAGCTCCGCATTACACAACTCAGGCATCCAGTCCCGCAGTACTGGTCGACTCCCCGACAATATACCGCACGATACATACCATCTTCAATCAAATTTTCCCATCGAATCACAAGCCCAGTTATCTGGATTCCTCCGCTTGGTGTAGTTGGTTTATCACGTTCGACTGTAATTGCAATTGTAATCGAAAGGTCCCTAGTTCGATTCTGGGAGCGGAGAACAGCTACAATTTCTTTTTTTGTCAACTCCTAGCACATGGAGTTACTTAAGGTAAATCTACCTTTTTTTTGGCTAAGTCTAGAGCCCTGCATATGTGTCTGCCGACACGTGGGGACGGGTGGGGCGGAAGGAATGCATGCAGCGAGGATTTGTACTAGAGACCTAGTTGGCGTAGCGTAGATTGAAACCACGAAGTCGAGACGTGGCCTTTGGAACATGAAGTTCACGTTGAATTTTTGCATGTGTTGACTACTTCAGCGTCTTCCTCCTTTGATGCTGGAACATTGCAAAGTATATAAGTTTTACAATTTGCAACAACTTTCATCCAATCAGGCTTCGTGGCGCAATGGTAGCGCGTCAGATTCCAGTATCTACCACTGGAGCTTCCTGAAGGTTAGGCGTTCAAATCGCCTCGAGGTCACATACCTGATTCAATTCTTTTTGACAATTGAGCAGGGCAACCCTTTTTTTGCACCTTTATGCGGGTCTTGCAGATACGCTATGCGGCTCCGAGGTTTGGTTATTCGGTTGCCGTGAGGGGTGGCTCCACCGTCAGCCGAGAATCTGGACCACTTTTTTGATTGAGTAAATCTCTTTTCTCATTCGTTGTGTTTGTTGGTACTATCCAAATGAACCGAAAACCACCGCCTTGCCAGATGAATTGTCTTCCTGCAGCATTGACCTCTCGAGCATTAACAAGAGATGCGATGTGCGAATGAGAAGCTCTGCATGCTGTCAGTAGCTGGACCGGTGTTGCAAGAAACCATCGTATTACTTACCATCAAATTCAATCTCATAAGTAACAGGCATGTCTTCATCCTCATCTGCGCTGATGAGAATGGGTAAGTTCCGGCGGAGCTTTCTCTCACGCGCATTGAAGCGTATACCGCTGTCCTTCCTTGGGCTCACCCATAAGATGCTGGGATCCTCGAGATTTGCCTTTTCTTCAACAATTTCTCTTGCAACTTCCTTACCCTTACCCACTTCTTCGATAACCTCATTCGACGCTATTCGGTTGTCTACTCTGCATCTTGCCGCAACGTCTTTGAGCCACTCTCTCCACACCCTCAGCACACCCTCCTCAACCTCAACAAAGTTTGTGAAGAGGTTGTGCGATCCGATCTTAACAAGGTTCGTTTGTGCAATCAATTGCGTGAATAGCTCATGTGCTTCCAAGCTCAGCGTCTGCTTGACCGATTCGCTGTCATATGGATCCTGCACTGTCCCTGGAAAGGTGCGACTGCCAGGAACGTCTCCCGGCCGTGGCTTTACCCTTCTCCCACTAGCCTCTAGATCACGTCTGTGTGGTCGGTAACGAGAGTACATTCTATACATCTCACCCAGTCTGCCTACATTTTTCTCGCTTGGATCAATATCATGATATAGTTTCAAGCCATCAGTGCCTCGATATGTGCAAAAGTAAGGCGGCTCGGTAAGTTTCGCAGACGGGTGGAAGCATTCGAGGAGTACAGAGTGTGAGTTCAGTTCTGCAGCTGTGACAAGGCGATTGTGCAAAATGCGTAAGATGAGCGAGTGTATGCGGCGCGAAATGGTAGTCAAAGGCAGAAGGTCTAGTGTTGGCATCGGTGCGAAAAGGTGAAGGAGCAGCTGTAATGGTTAGTTGGTATGAGATGAGATGGCCTTGTAAGATGCCATACCTCGTTGGGGAGCCTGTAAAGATAGCATTCCTCCATTGCTACAAGCAATGTAAAAGCACAGATTCGTTAGTTCTAGATATATTCACTTGCAGAGGCGTAGATGTCAAGAATCAGCAAAGGGAACTTGACAGCCACTGCAATACACCGAGTCCGGAGATAAGATATCGTCATTGCTCTGGAAAGCGGGGCTTAACCACAACAGGCTAGACTTTATCTGCGACGCGCTTTCCCGTTCGAAGTCAGACTCTCACCTTTCCACACCCAGTTGAAGACGCGGTAATCGAATCACTCTGCACTTTAGTACGGCAAGTAAAAAGTGTTGATACGTCATCCATCATGCAAGGCTTTGTCAAAGACCGACAAAACACCAAAAGCCCGCATAATGCTCTAGCCAATGCCCAACACGTACCCAAGACTGACCGGCAAGCTGTTGGTGCTAATGCAAGGGTATCAATCAAGAATGGACTCCCTTCTCAGCGGCGCACACCAGTGTCTGGAGCTCTGGGACGTGGGTCTGCCAACGCTCAGAACAGCTCAGCTGTCCTGCAGAACCCCCGACGCGTTCATTCGGCTCAAGGTCACACTCAAAAACGTGATCCCTACGATACTGATGCAGAAAGCCTAGACACAACCATCGACCAATCTGTTGTTCAGTTAGAGGGTGGCCCACAAAATGAGCAACATTATCATCAGAATGAGCAAGTCTTTGGCCTTGATGTGAGTGGCGATGTCGGAGAAAGCAATCCGGGCTCCGAAGAGCCAGAGCATCCTTACGAAAAGGAAAACCAAGGCATTACCCAAGATGATGAGGAATTTCTTGAGGAAAATGGACTCAGTCATATAGACCAAGCTCAAAAGGTTGCATTCCTGCGGCAAGCGGGACGATTGGATCTGCCAAATGTCGAGGGCGATTCATACCCAACTACCACTAACGGCGAGCCTTCTGAATTGGATGGTATGCAGCAGCTGCCGTCAGATTATCGTTATGAAGACCGTCAAAGCTCTCCATTCCGTCAGCACTTCAACGTCAAGCATGAGCCTGGCCAGCCAAATGTGCTGCAGGCAACCCACCGCCAACAGAAACTGCATATGCCAGCCCCGAGGCAGAGCCTTTCTAAGCCTTCGCAGCTGTTTGAGCAGTCTGCACAACTCCGCGATCAGACACGCGCCAATGCGCCTACTGTGCAACAACCTAGGCAAAACATTCAGCAACATCGTGTCGTTCCTCAGTCCGGCCAGCCACCCGTTCACAATCAGCCTAATGCAGGCGTTACTCCTGCTGGTTTTTCAATGTTTGCAAATCCCTACCAGAATGCCCATGTGGAGGCCAATAATCAGCAATATGTCCATCGTCAACAACCTGGTCCTTCCTATGTTCAGTTCCAGTTCGAACCCGTAAAGTCAATGGAGCCACCTGCACCCGTAGAGTACCCCTTTTCAGCGCAAGCGATACCCAAACAAACAAGCTATCAACCACCAATCGAGCAAGTTGCAATTGAAGAGCCTCAGACTATTCAAATCGAAGATTACGACCCCGAGACGCTCTTTAACATGAAGTATGAAAGCCTCAAGAATGAAAGTTTCGACACCGATCCGCGTGCTAAACCTCCTGTTCTGACTGAGGAAGATGCTCAGAAATCTCTACCTGAGCGTCTTGTCCTGGTACAGAAGAACCTTACCCCAGACAAGCAAGCCAGTTTCTTTTCCTCGCTCCCTACTAGTGAATGGGAGGATGCTGGGGATTGGTTTCTTGATCAGTTCCAGACTATCATTCAGCGTACGAAGCAAGCGAGGCAGAAAAAGCGTAAGCTTGTGCAAGAGTTTGAAGAAGAAGTCGAGAAGCGACATAGGCATGTGGCGAAGAAGCAACAGCAGGTCGAGCAGGCGATGGAGAAGATGAAAACCCAAGGTGAGAGCCTAGTACCTAGGAGCCCGAGGCCTTCGAAGAGCCCTAGACCCAGGAGAAACTAAGATGCGGGATCTCGTTCGTGGAGGTTCTCGCGTTACAATTAATGTCACATCATGACATGCTAGGGAGGTTTGCGAGGTGTCGCATCAGAGTTTATGGTCTTTCTTTCATGTGCTATATACCCATATACTTCAACATCGGCATTGGTAGTATATATCAATACCACTCAAATCCACATTGCGCTTAGTGCGGATAACTCAGACATACCCTGAGGCTACACGACGTTCGCGACATGCGCCAGCGCGTACGTCATCAGCCATCACAGAGTTGAACTTCACATTTAACACCCCTACGTTGTGTGGTTGTAGTTGAATTTGTAATCACATTACCCCCCATGTCGATTATCTTGCTATTAGAAACAAGACGAATAAGAAGCGGAATAGCCGAAATGGGAAAATGATGGGGTTTAGTGCGACCAAAAGGATGTGCTTACGGATGCCGGATGTATGGAAGACGCGGATACTAGGCAGCAAGTCAGGCGCATCATGTGGAGATAAAACACTTCCGGATATTGGATCCACCATCCGCGAAAGCACTGCCTCGCTCGCCCGGAGCATGACGGAAGCTGGGCATTGTCAGCAGTGATTTCATGGTTTAAAATAATAGGGAAGTACATACATTAGAACCAACACTCCATATTTTGTGTTTTTGAAATAATAATTGCTCTTTTGTAAATACATCCTTATTTTTCCTCCACGAACACCGGAATATCCTTTATATCTGTATATCTCGAAATCCGCATATTTACACAAAGATATAACCACACCAACACGGTTCCACCAACAACATTTTTTTTTTACTAAAAAACCTCCAGTAACTTCCCCAAACCATGCCCTTTGAAGCCGCCCAAAAAGCATCCCTCCACCACCTAATTCCGCAATCCACCGATATCTCCCTCTCACCCCCCGAATCCTACTTCTTCATCACCGACTTCCTGATAATATCCTGCGGCATCCTCTACACGCTCTGCTACACCTTCTACACCATCCGCACCTACAGCGATCGTTTCCTGGCCGGCACCGTCCAATTCCTCAGCGCAACCATGGCCTACGAAATCTACTACGCCTACGTCTGCACCAGCACTGCCTTTCAGCGTGCATGCTTCTTCGTGTGGTTCTTGTTCGACGTTACGTTTGTGAGTGTGGCGCTGAAGTATGCGTATGCGCCGGGTGAACGGGGGTGGACGATTAAGAAGTTGTTGTGGCAGACGCCGGCGTGGATGGCGGTTTTGTGGGCGGTGGGGGTGTGGTGGCCGGATGAGAGGGAGCAGAAGACTGCGTTTTTTACGGGCTTGTATCTTGAGTTGCCGATTGGGTGGGGGCAGATTTTTTATCTAGTCAAGAGGCGGGATACGAAGGGGCAGTCGCTTGAGATTTGGTATGTTTTTTTTTGAACTGCTTTCATTTTTGAGTATTAGGCGGGGTTGTGTTTTTTTTTCTCCAACGCATCTTTCTTTCAGAGATGAGGCTAATGAGACTAGGCTTACGAGATACCTTGGGTGTATTACAGCGTTTTTGGTTTTCATATGGCGGTACATCAACGTACCTGAGAATTGGGCGTATGTGGGCAACTGGTGGAGTATCGGCGGCATGATTGTCACTTTACTGCCAGAAACCGTATACCCATTCTTCTACGTCTGGGCACATCGCAAAGAGAGGGAGAAGAAGGAAAAGACTTCATAAGGCCACACAAGACAGTGGTATGTTGAGATGCAATCGAGACCTTTTTTTCTCTAAAAGATGCATAAAGGTTGGTGTAACTACAAAAGTATCGCTTATGAAACATGCAGGAGTTGCCTTTTTTCTTTTCTGGGAAAAATCACAAAGAAATACGAGAAATCTACCCTGATCGCTACATTTTCACTTAGGAGATTGAGCATCTAAGCACAGTAGTCGGGCTTGCCGGCTCCGCCATCAACACAGTTGCCGCAGGGGGTGCGTCCGTTGGCCCAAACGAGCGTTTTGCCCTGTCCCGCACACTTGAAGAGGGACTTGTCGATCTGGTCGACAGCAGGGTACTGGCCATTGTTCCACATGTCTTGCAGGACCTTGCCCTGGATTTCAGAGTTGGTCCAGCCTGTGATTGCGTTAGGAAGTGTGCAGCAAGAGAAATGTTGGATGTTGGGAAATGGGAGGGAGACGTACCGCGCCACTTCAGAGTGGAGCCGCAGTAGAGCTGATGGGTCTTGCAGTCACCGGCAGATACGGTGATGGCGAGCTGGGTGAGAGCAAGGGTGATGAGGGTGTTGATAGCGACCATGGTGACGGTTGAGTTGCTTATTAGGCGGTGATGTAGGGTTTTAGTGAGTGGATTATTGTAGAATGTGACTGAAGACTGTATTGTAGCAGGTTGCTGTGATCGTTTCTACGTCGATGTTCATATACCTTTATATTTTTCAAGTTGCCGAATGTCTCGTACAATCATCACAAAGGATTCAATCTAGCCACCACAGCTCAGTCACCAAGACTGTTACTGTTCGCATGTCTACGAGGCGTAGCTGAGATGAAGCGGTCTGGTACATCTGTTCAGCTTGCAACTTTCAAAGGAGTGGAGAAGTTGAAGCGGTTGTTGTGGTCACAGTAATTTACCCGTCAGCATGCTGCGAATCAAACTGCTGGAATTTTGACACTCAGGCCCATCACACCACCAAAGTATTCCGGCTTGGCATTCATTTTCCACCTGAAGAGAGTCTTGGCATGTTGTTTGACCGCTGCTCAGGGAAGCATACAATGTAACCGTTGATCCATAAGCCCTGCATATAGCGCCAAGATTGGCGACAGGGTTGCTTTGTGGTCAATGTTGCGTGCCGCAGGGAACAACGGAGATTTTGGTACGTAACGGCTCAGGTGCGGCTGAATGTTCTTTCCTTGTCAGGGACCACCACCGTTGGCAGTGCATACTACCTCGTAACGTCTATTCTGCTTCGCCATGGTACAGAGTGCTCGGTTTGCTTGGTGGAGAGGAGTGATCCTATTTGGCTGGTTTACAGATCTCTAGGTATAAAGATCAAGGCAGCTTCGTCGTAAAGGCATCACAACAACTTTCCTCGAGCCACCGACGCGATATCACGCAATCTCCTACCTTGTCATCTTCTTGAAGCATATCATACCTATTTACGCTAGTCAGCTTCGCAATCCCGACACCATGCGTTCGACTACTCTGATCACCACTGTACTATCGCTCTTGACGGCGACCAGTTTTGCCCTTCCTGCCGAGCAAGCAGAAGGCTTGACGGCTCGTGCCAAATGCAGCACAAGAGCTGATTGCTCTGGTGGAAAAGTGTGCATGGGTAAGTCGGCTTCGTTGGGTGGAGAGAACGTTTGCTAACACTGTCCGCACTAGTTGTTGGTTGTCATGGACAGATTGTAGGATCTACCTGCGAGACGGCCAGTTACTGCAGCAGCTTCAGTGCACCTACATGCGGTGCGACTTGCAAGTAGAGGGCAAAGAGGGTTCAGGGTTGGCTTAGAGGTAGACATATGTATAGCGGCCGTGTTTCCTTGGACGAATCCGATCTCATTTATTCCATGCCGCTGAAGTCCCACGAGATGATTTGATAGGTCCATGTGAACATGATCTTGAGATGAACAACATGGGTAGTCGCGATAGAGTTGTGCAAGTAGCCAATCCCTTTGCACCGGCATACTCGGCATTTTTCCGTTGTGCCGTAGCATCACATCACGACATATCGGGACGTCCACAACGGACGATCGGCACACAAGCTTTTCAGCCACAAGTGTAGCCGCTGCGACGAGTCCGCGGCGCCACGACAACGAACTGGGCCAACGTCGTCATATTTCCTGTTTTTCTGTTGGGCGGTATGCTGGCAAGTTTGCGTTGTGGTAGAAAGACTTGAGAGTGCATGCATATGCGCGCGTTGGGTGAGGAGATGAACCAAGGGCCAATGCATGGAGATTTGAGTTTGGCAGCAGAGAAACCTGCAAGCGGCTTGCATCTAGGCCGCCGATAGCGTCTTTCACAAGATGGCAGCCACAGCACGACGCGCCTGCAAAGCCGTGCACCCAGCCTATGGCGCCCATGACATGCAATGCCGATCTTCAGCCACACCAATAGCACAGTCGCACCCAAGATGAATGCTATTTAGCTCCCAATGACGCCGGCCGTATATCATCCCGTCTGGCTGGTTTAGTCCCTTGTTGACTGCTACACCTCTCTTCGAATCGCCCTGCGCCCGTCGTCGCGACTTGTTTGCTTCATCACGGTCGCCATCACCCGTCGCAATGACTTCCCACGGCCAAGCTGCCGACTACTATTCAGGCGGCGCACCGCCCCAGCAGCCTCAGGGCGCATACTACCAGGGTCAGCCCTATGGACAGCAGCCTCCCCAGTACAATCAGGGCTATGCGCCGCCTCAGGGACCACCCCCAATGCAGCAGAACAACGGGTACCAGCAGAATGGCCATGGCAACGAAAAGCAGAGCTTTGAGCAGACTTTCAAGCTCGATAAGCCAAAGTACAATGACTGGTGGGCGGGTCTGCTCTTCATCGCCACGTTTCTGGGTTATGTTGCCGTGAGCGCAATTTCCATTCGAGGATACGGTGAGTAGTGCATTCATCGGTTTGCGATTCGACACGTCAAGTGGTATACTGATGGCTGGATGCAGCGCGAACTAACAGTGGAGGCATCTACGGCAACGATACTAACAACTTCGCGCTCAATTCCAACACGATTATTCTTTTCGCATTCGTTCTCGGTATGGCTACCGTCTTCAGTTACGCGTACATCTGGGCGGCGCGCAAGTTCACCAAGCAGTTCATCTGGATCACCGGCATTCTCAACATCGTCTTTGGCTTCGTGACGGCCATTTACATGCTTTCCAGGCGGTACTGGTCTGGAGGCATTGTCTTCTTAATCTTCAGCATCTTCTACGTCTTCTGCTTCATCAGCTGGATTCCCAGGATCCCGTTCAGTGTGCTCATGCTGCAGACTGTGATTGACGTATCGAAGAAGTATGGCCATACCTACCTCGTCTCGCTGGGCGGCGGAATCTTTGCTGCGGCACTGGGCGCATGGTACTCGGTTACGCTGGTCTCGATTTACGTACAGTATACGCCAAACGGAGCAAACTCCAATTGTAGGAACGGCGTTGGTGATTGCGGCAATGGCAAAGTTATCGGCCTCCTCGTCTTTGTCACATTTGCCATGTACTGGATCTCGGAGTAAGTGGTCATGGTCCAAGCCCGAACGAATTCACATGCTAACAGCAGAACAGATGGCTGAAGAACACCATCCATGTCACCATTTCTGGCGTCTATGGCTCGTGGTTTTTTGCGCCCAATGCTATGCCTCGAGGCGCAACCCGGGGTGCGTTCAAGCGCGCCATGACATACAGTTTCGGCAGCATCAGCCTTGGAAGCTTGCTCGTGGCCATTATCCAGTTCCTGCGACAGGTTTGCTCCGCTGCTCAACGTAACGCGTCTGGCGAGGGAAATCTGGTCGGGACAATCCTGTTTTGCGTACTCGGCTGCATCATCTCTCTTCTAGAGTGGGCGGTCGAGTTCTTGAACAGATATGCCTTCAGCTACATTGCACTCTACGGAAAGAGCTATATTGCGGCTGCGAAGGATACGTGGAAGTAAGTGTTGGGAAGACTTTGGATTTGGGAGTGGCAAGCTGACTTTCTCAGGATGATCAAGGATCGCGGTATCGATGCGCTCGTCAACGAGTGCTTGATCGGACCTGTCCTCTCCATGGGCGCCACTTTCATCGCATACGCATGTGCACTACTAGCCTACCTGTACCTCATCTTCACATCGCCGGCGTACAACGCAGATGGAGGCTACACGCCGGTTGTGGTGGCTTTTGCTTTCCTGATAGGGCTGCAAATCTGTAAGTTTGTTGGAAGAGTGGTGACTGATGGACAGGTACTAACTGCCAGCAGGCAAAATCTTCACGACGCCGTTGAGCAGCGGTATCGACACGATCTTTGTTGCGATGGCGTGGGACCCCGATGTCCTCATGCGCGAGCACCCGGACCTCTACCACCGCATGGTAGCTGTGTACCCACAGGTCCAGCAGGCCATTCACGCCTAGGGTCGAGCTATGCACCGAGCCCGGGGCTTTCGGTCAGCATCTGGAGCCCAACTAGACATAATAATACTTGATATCACGCGATACCCACAGTCATCGATCACGATCATTTATTGCGCAGTTTTTTACGATGGTCGTTGCCCATGGCGGGGCACCCCTGGAGGAAAAGGCAGACCAACTGGGCTTAGCGCAAACTACCGGCGGGAGAAGGAAGCGATTGCTCCACTCGGGCCTAGTTCGTCGATGACGTATGACGTCTTCGTGCTTGATGCGCCCACCCACCAGACAATGCCATCGAGCCGGAGCGTACCTATAGTCTTGTTGAGCATCACACGACGGGCACTGCATCCACGGCCGAGAAGGTGTTGCTGGCCCTCGAGGGTAGTATTGAGGCTCGAGTGAGACTTTTTGTGTAGCATGTACATGAGTGAGGTATTAATCTAATGTCGTTTTCGCCCGTCCATGGAGCCCCTCACCCACACCCGACGCGTTCATGTGTGTGTGTCTCCAAGTCTCGCGCGTTTGTGCCTGCCGCCATAAGCCACACTGGCGGCCCAATCGGGTGCCCACAAACATCGTCACCGCCTTGCGGGGGTCTCTGGCTGCCCTCCCAACACATAAGTAAACACGCACTCGTTGGCCAGTGACGCTCTCTCACCCACGCAATACTGCACGCTCAAGCACCTGCAACGCCGCCCAGCCGCCGACCCGTCTGGCCAGGTAAGTCCTGCTCTCACACTGCATCTGCACGAGCTGCCTGCCTTCACTGCATTGCTCCAAGCCCCGCCTTGGCTCCTGCTACACATACAAATACCCCACCAAACGTGCTTTCCTGCTCTGCTCAACATCCAAAACAAAACCCCTCTCCCCCTCCAGTTCCCTCACCCCACCTCATCCTTCTGCTTCTTCTCCTCACCACACCTTGCCTTCAGTCTGAACAGGCCAAGTTAACGCTTCTCCCCCAGCAGCACAATCCAACTCACACCTGCCCCTCAATCACTCATCTCCATCATGTCCTACGAGAAGAAGGCAGTCCACTTTGGCGGTGGTAACATCGGCCGTGGCTTCGTTGCAGAGTTCCTCCACAACTCTGGCTTCGAGGTCGTCTTCGTCGATGTCATGGACTCCATCATCGAGTCCCTCCAAAAGACCCCCTCATACACTGTCACCGAGATTGGTGATGATGGCGAGCGCAAGTTCACCATTGACCACTACCGTGCCATCAACTCCAAGCACGAGATGGACAAGGTCATTGACGAGATTGCCTCCGCCGATGTCGTCACCTGCGCTGTCGGCCCCAACATCCTCAAGTTTGTTGCTGAGCCTGTTGCCAAGGCTATTGAGAAGCGCACTCTTGATTACCCCCTCGCCGTCATTGCCTGCGAGAACGCAATCAACGCTACAACCACATGGAGGGGCTTCATCGAGGGCAAGCTGAGCGATGAGACCAAGAAGAACATCGACAGCAAGGCCCGCTTCGCCAACTCGGCTATTGACCGAATTGTCCCACAGCAGCCCGAGAACTCTGGCCTCAACGTTGTCATTGAGAAGTTCCACGAGTGGTGTGTCGAGCAGAAGCCATTCGAGAACGGCGGCAAGAAGCCAGATGTTAAGGGCATCCACTACGTCGACAACCTCGAGCCATACATTGAGCGCAAGCTCTTCACTGTCAACACTTCACACGCCACTGCCGCCTACTACGGACACCAGAACAAGATCAGCTACATCCACGAGGTCCTCCATGACAAGAAGCTTCACGACATTGTTCGGGACGCTGTTAGGGAGACTGCTCACTTGATCATCAACAAGCACGGCGTCAGCGCCTCGGAGCAAGATGACTATGTTGAGAAGATCATCAAGCGCATCTCCAACCCCGTCCTCAAGGATAACGTAGAGCGTGTCGGCCGTGCTCCTTTGCGCAAGCTCTCCCGCAAGGAGCGATTCATCGGCCCCGCTGCTCAGCTGGCCGAGAGGGGTGACAAGGTTGATGCTCTGCTTGGCGCCGTCGAACAGGCCTACCGCTTCCAGAACGTCGAGGGCGACGAGGAGTCTGCCGAGCTGGCCAAGATTCTCAAGGAGCACTCGGCCGAGGAGGTTGTCACCAAGGTCAACGGTATCGAGAAGGACCACCCCCTATTTGACCGTCTTGTCGCCATCGTCAAGAAGGTGCAGAGTAGCAGTTGAATAACCGCCAGTAAACTCTAGGGAGTTGCCACTGCGGCGGATCAAAAAGAGACAGGAGAGAAGGGACCACGAAGGCTTATGTATGGTGGGGAGGATCAAGGATGCCTTGAGCAATGGCTCCATTTGGCAGAGTTTCGACAAAAAAACATGACATTGATTGGGATCAATGCCTTACCTAATGAGAGTATGATATGAATAATGAAATATACCCATTACCTATATACACACTTGTGTCTTGTTGTTCGAATTTGTCATAGTCTTGCTGTCACCTGCCATTGGTTTGAGCACCTACCATCTTGATGCATGTCAGTAAAATGACAACGCATCCACTCTACATTTCTCTCTGAGACATTGGGCTGACCTTGGCTGTAGCCTGGAGCGATATCTTTTCTTGCAAGTAGGTAGTACTACGCAGGTCTAATAAACACGACGTCCATGATCAGCAGTTAGTGTCAGCGTAGCCAGGATATACCCGGTTAATTTTGTAAAAACCTCGTATTCAAAAGCGGAAATTCTGCCACGAGGCTATGTACCGGTAGGCTGCTATCCTATCCAGGTATACGTACGCCTTGTTGCTGTCAAAAGTGCTACCTAGGAGGCTTGGGCTTGGTATTGTGACACGTCGCATGTGTGTAGGTGGTAGTTCAAGTACAGAGATTGCTGGGAGACACATCTCCATGATATCGCGACGGAGAATTTGTAACGTTTATGCTTTGTATGGAGAAAGGAAAACTGGGTAAATTTGACATTGGCAATAGTTCATGTGCCTCGAACTCCTTACTAGCAACTAGTTTAATGGGCACGCAAACTCGATTATGAGAAATAAATTATGCATTTTTTTCTTATTTCTCCTACTGCCATTGGTAACCCTACCAGCTAATGCAACAGAAACTACCGTACAAAGTCTAGTTATCGCGATCGGCGTCTCTTAATGTAAGATCGGGAAGGTTTCCACCCCAGACATGTTGGGAGAGCGCGGAGCTTCATAGTGCTTATGTCTGTTATGCTTTTAATTGGCTAGTATGGACGCCAAGAAAAATGATAGATGGGATATACATAACCATGAGTGGAGGCTGTGTACATATGCACAGAAATGCGGACGATATTGCACGGGCCCCGAGTGTGCCGATGAGGGAACACCCAGTAGACACAATACACATCCGACGCCAATCTCGATTCGCATGATGGATATGTGGGATGCAGTCCATGTCGAAACGACCGGAAAGGCTTGGTCGCAAGGCTGAAACACAATGATAGCGGGCTCGGCCGGCGGGAGAATGGCGGGAGAATTGAGTTGGCTCGCTGTACTGGAACTAGACCTAAATAGGTGCGCCAAGCGCCGTATTCTTATTACAGCCCCTCTGGCGGAATCAAGCAATGCCCATTAGCATTTTTAGATATGTTGCACCAGCACACTACCTCAGGGGCGACTTAGTGGCGGTGCGACAGCCACAGGCGTCCCAGGCAAGACTCCACTCAACATCTCACCACCGCAGCAGCATCAGCCTGATATGGTTTGTTATGCAGGATTCATGGCAGTGCTGCCAAGTACTTGGGCGCTACACCGATATGCACTTTTGAACATGGCTTGTCACAAGACCCGGCGCTAGCCCTCCCGACATGGAGACGTTTTAGACGATCAAATCTTCTCCGATGCACTCCCTTTCCCCTTTTCGCCCTGGACCCATGGACATCGGCCAGGTTCCAATCGTCCGTTGACGTCAGCTCACTGCACACCTGGTCTTCCCCAAGCAGTCTTGGCACTTCTGCAAAGCCAGCACCAGCAAACCCATGCGGTTAGTTATATAAACCGCTTCAAACATAGGCACGCGACACTACCAGGCTGAGGATGACAGCAGCATTGTGGCGGCAAATCGGACTAACAAAGGAGATATGTGTGGCCTGACTGCAGCTGGTAGGCCATCGACTCGTCGTCCGCAACCAAGTCCCCGCCCATGCACGCGTGGAAAAAGGTGGAGCCTCTAATTCGCAATACGTCGCTTGCGTATTCCCAGACTAGGGAGTCAGGCCTCCTTTGCTCGGCACCCGGCGGACTTGCACGCGACCCGTTGGCGGTGGCACCGAGTAAGTAAAGCATCCTGCTTGCTATTCTTGACATGTCCGCTTGATCTGGACTCTATGCTTCTTGTTTTTTCCCACTCTACTCCTTTCCCTTTGTTGAGTCAACAAACCTTCAACTTGACCGCTATCCGAGACACGACTGTTCCAGGGGGGATACTAGACTGTCGTGTGCCCGCCGTTTTCTCGTTTGCGTCAGCCTTTTCCACCACAACTTTCATGACATAGCATTTCCGGCCGCATTATCTACAGTACCACCGTGCCAGACTCTGGTACCACCAACACAAAATGGCAAACTCTACACTACCAGACAATGGGCAATGGAACAGCAAGCCAGCCTGGAAACTGCCAGGATGGTGTGAACCAGTCGTACGTCCCCAAATCACACAGCAGAGCCTGCATGCAAAGTGCGGTGTACTAACATGACTATGCATCTAGATGGTCGCCAGCATTCTCTTCTTCGCCATGTTCATTACGCGGAAACGAAACTACAAAATATTTGCTGCACCCTCAAGTCGAAACGGCTACCTGGATGACGCGCCAAACGATTCGATGGATCGCCTTCTCCAACAGTCAGACAGCGACAGCGAATTCGACGACGTCTATGCGACCAAGAACCCAAATGCACCCAAGGTCCGAAGTATTGGTTGCTGGAAGGTTACTACGCCCAACACTTCGCGCTTCCGCAACAACATACACAGTCGCATACTGCAGCGCTTCCCGTTTTTGATCGAGATGTTTTACTGGGTCATCAACTATGCCTTCTACCGCATGACGGCAATTGCATCGGCTAAGCTTTTTGCTGGACGAGGCATCTGGGACGTTTCGCAAGAACACGGAATATCGGTTTTGGAGGCAGAGCAATTTGGCTTTCTGAGCTTTTTATTCCCGCTCCGGGAGCGCGACGTGCAACAGTGGTTTATGCATGGACACCAAGATGCGCTTACTGTGCTGAACAAGTGTTATGCACTGATTCATATCCCCGGCACTGTGGGGTAAGGAACATGTTTGGAAGTTTTACTAGAGTAACACTGACATTTGACAGCTTCATCTGCTGGTATTACTACGTCGCCCCTTCATTCGATACCTTTGCTACCGCCCGCCGGACACTTACCCTCACCAACTTCTGCGCCTTCATGACCTTTGTCGTATTCCCATGCATGCCTCCGCGGTTGCTCCCTGCCGAATACGGCTTCCTTGATACCGTCCGCCACGACGATGCACAGAGTGTGTGGATGAGTGGCAAGTTTGTCAACCAGCTTGCTGCGATGCCTTCAATGCATTTTGGATATGCATTCTGCATCGGCATGACGCTCATCTACCATTCCGGCCTGTTCCGCCGCACCTTGGAGCCAGGCGAGGTTCGCAAGAACGCATTCTGGAAGATCTTTTACCTCGTTCTTGGCATTGGATACCCTTCATTCATCCTCACCGTTATTGTCGCTACCGCCAACCACTACTTTATGGATGCGCTCGTAGCCACATGCTTCGTGTTCTTTTCCTTCTTCTGCAACAAGGTCTTTTACGTCTTCATTCCCCTCGAGGACCTTTTGCTCTACGTTATCCGGGCAGACAAGCCAGTACCCACCACTGGCGACCGCTACCGTGACAACAGCGGTCGTTTATAGGCAGTGGAAATATTTGACAGCGTTTCGCAAGCCTTCATTTCGCTTCTACACCAGCTACATAGCGCTATTTGTCGGTACATATGTACGCAATCTTTTTTGCATTTTACGGAGCACGGAATCACGGCTGGAGTTTGAATGACAACCCCAAAATACCTACTTTTTCCATTATTAGATATACACAAGCCACCGGGGCAGAAACACATAGCTATTCGAGATGATAATAGTATATATGAACCGAGTTGTTTTCACCAATGACTTGATCATGTGCTCGAATCGGACAAATTTGGACGGCTTCGTAGTCGTGCATGTAGACAGCGATATGGCTGTCGATAACGTCCCGCTGAGGGGTGATGAGTGGCGCGAACTGAGCTTGTTCCTGCGTTAGCGCGTAAGCAACGCGTTGGAGCTTCCCTGGAGCTCTCCCCGGCATTCCCAGTATCACGCTTAACCTCTCTCTACTAGCCAGCCACCTCGCAACCACACACCCGCCCCGCACCCTGTGAGGTCGATTAGAGACGCTCTTTTGTTTCAATTACCGTAGCGCAATTTTGCTTTCACGGGAAATATTTTCTTAAAAAGTAAAAGAGCAGGACTGCAATCCATCTCTCACTTGGCTCTGCGCTGACATTCGGGAAGCTGATCTCACAGGCTAGTTTGCATCTGAGCTTTGTCGTGCACCTCCACTTGCTTTCCTTTTATCCATATCGCATGACATGTGATTTTGCCCTGCTAGAGCATCATAGATACAGAGGATAGATTTGCCATGGCGGATATTGAGCAACAAGCACCTGTCGAGGGCACGCCAGTCGAGGATGTAGAGATGGAAGGTGCAGCTGATGCTGGCGCTGGCGCTGGCGTGGACGAAGGTACTGGTGAAGAGACGGCTTTGGCTGATTTTGAGCCTGAAGCGCCCAAGCTAGTATTGTTCTCAGAGTAAGTCATACTGGGGCAAGATGTGGGTGTTGCAGACTGGCACGTTGGACGAGGCGCCGGGCGCGAGAGCGGCTGAGACACAATGAGATGCGCGCCTGTGTTTCTCACGGTTTGCCTAGGGGAACGAAAAACAGACACATGGGCAAGCAAACAAGAGAAAAAAGGACATGCATCTAACGCGCTCACCAGCCTGATCAAGAGTCCAATCGTAGAAGTCGTTGTTGGATCCGGAGAGACCCGCACCACATACTCAGCACACGAGGCTGTTCTTCTCAAGTCGCCCGAGTTTGGCAAACATGTCGAAAAGTTTGCGGCAGGAGGAGTAAATAGCACTTAGACGTCCTTACTGCTTCGCACATTTTTTGGCTGACATAACGTTAGCCACGCCAAATTGTCCTTTCAGACTGCGACATAGACGCCATGGGCTCGGTAATCGAGTACCTCTACACGGGCGAGTACTTCCCCAAGAAGACTTCTTCGGCGCGCGACGCCTCGCTAGAAAAGGACCCACGCCAACCAGAAATCGACCATGAAGGCGTCGGCCTCCTCGTCCACGCCCGCATCTACACTCTCGCCGACCGCCTCCAACTCCCCGAGCTCAAATCCCTTGCACACTCCAAAATCCACCGTACCGCCTCGACGGCTAAAGGTGAACTCGCATACGCCCGCTACGTCTACAAAGAATCCGACCCAGAAGACACTACCATTCGCAAGCCGGTGGCGGCCTTTTGGGCTACCCGCAGCTTCAGCCTCCGCCGCGACGCCGAGCCAGAGTTCAAGGCAATGTGTCTGGAGTTTCCGCAGTTTTCGTACGATGTGCTGCAGTTGGTGCTTGATCAGCGGGAGAAGAAGAAGAGCGGCGAGGATACGCCTGGGCGGAGTAGTGGGCCGAGTGTTGTACCGGGGAGTACGAGGAAGAGGGCAAGGGTTTAGTCAGGTGTAGGAGTGTACGAGTTTGATGGTGGGGGGGGGGGGGAGGAACTGGGAAATAATAATGATGATTGATATTTATTTCATTGCTGGGGATGCTTTGTTTGTGCATATCTCTCTCGGCATCTTTTAGAATTTTTTAAGAAGAAGAAGAAGAATTCATGTTACCATTTTTTTAGGGCTGAAATGTCTGATGTACGTACGTACGTACGTATGGGGGAGGAGATGGAGGAGAGGGTATGTTGGATACTGCAGTTTTAGCCGTACATGTCTTATGCCAATACTTTCCTTCTTCTTCTTCTTCTTCTTCTTCTTGCTGACGTCATCCATATCCATCGTTTTGTTCTTATACACACACAAGAGTAAGTGCCGTGCCGTGTCAAAGAGAGAGAAAAAAATTATTCGGTAGTTTGTTTCGGCACCTTTATCTCTCTCTCTCACAACCCTCGGTCTAGCATGTGAAGATATGCTTGTTGACATTTTTTTTTTAAAAAAAATCCTTGGAGCGAAAATCAACGTGTAACATATGGCACAGTAGTAGCCAAGAAATGAAATAGCGGGATTTGATTGTCATTATTTTTTTGGCTTGAATTCGTGTATATATGTATGCGTGTGTGTGTGTGTGTGGGGAAAAAGGCAAAAGAACGATGCATGCTGCAGAGCAAGAGAGGGAGAGAACCAGTGGGGACGGGTATCGAAGTTGGGCTTGGATTTTTTTTCTGATCGTATATGTATGTATCATGTATGAAGGTGGATATTAATGTATGCAAGTTTGCTGGTAGGCTTGGCTGTAGCGTGGGTACTATTCTACATTCATCACTTTGCATATTGGAGTAACGACGAGACAAAATGAAAAAGAAAAGGGAAGGGGAGGATAAGGTGTGTGCGTGTTTTTTCTCTCTTGTATGAGTCAGGAAGAAGGGAAATTGAAGGAGGTAAACAAGGTTTCTTATTGAGGTGACTGCATCATCGGCTTGTGATAATGGGTCGAGAGGACAAGGAACAGGCATTGAGTAGGGTACAGACCAGTCGGGGCCATATTACCATTGTAGGCATAGAATGGAGCAACTACTTCGGAGTTATTGCGACAAGATGAGTACGTAAGTAATTTCTTAGCTCATAGATGTATGTATGTCGGTAAGCAACAAAGCAACAGTGACACATATATTCATCCGTATACGAGCGCCCGGTCGCCCCAGTCACGCCGTCGGTCGCAAAGGCGGTCAACAAGTTTGTGTTTTTTGTGCTAGAGGACTCTCGTGAGACTTTTGAGTGTTTGCAGTGAGGATCTTGGGGCAGGACTACTGCATGGAATCTTGCTTTGGAGCCAGGCCAGTCATGTACGGTGACGTTGTTTTGCGGGAAACTGGGGGGATGCAGGGACGGGGGGGGGCTGGTTAGGGCGTGTGTATGTATTGCAGATGAGATAGATGGCGCAATGTAGGGCGCTGGAGAGTGTTCTTGTTGGGCCGCCAGTGAGTGATTGCAGGTTGCATTGGTTCGTTGGGTTTTACTTGGGTCGTGGCTGGGACTGAGTGCCTGTTGGATGGGAGATGGTAGAAAGGGAAGAGGTGGGTGAGCAGTGTGCTGGCTAGTTAGTAGGTGGGATGAGTTTGGTTGGTTGGTTGATAGCGAATGCCGGCCTTTGTGTAGTGGACATGCACGCTCCGCTGTACCGTACGTTGGGTTTGCCGGCGAGATTACTACTGTGGTGCTACTGTAGCAAAAGGGCAATCTGACGGGCCCCAAGGCATATTCAACGGTCCAACGGGACTATAATGGACATGGCTAGGATCCGTTCAATACGACACCCGTGACCAGTGACCCGTAGCCCGGGACAAAGGCCGGGGGGGGGGGGGGGGTCGGGCGTCGATCGACCATGGAGTCAGCGATGGCAGCGGAGAATGGGGGGGGGGCGCGTTGACATGTGTCAATCACTTCCGCGTGTGGCAGCGTGAGAGCGGACGCGGACCGGCTGTGGGCGAGTGCAAGCCGCCACCTGGGCCGGACAGTCTGCGCGAACACGTGGAGGTGCATATGCTCGGCATGGCCATGATTTGCGTGTGCATCGATCCGCTGCAATGTGAGCGATGCGAGGGCTGGTGAAACCGCAGCCCGGCTCCGCGACGCAGCCAGATGGGGAGGTTGATGTGCAGTGCGGGCGTGGAGGAGGGTGTGGAGGGTGTGGAGGGTGTGGTGGGTTGTGTGGATGTGGGTGAGAGAGGGTGTGTTGCCTGCACAGTGGGCGTGGTGCATAGTCCTAATCCGACAGAGGCTGCATTCGCTAGGGCCCTTCCCCGCGCCTCTGTGTGTGCTTGTGCCGAGCGGGCTTGGAGGTATGTGGTATTCTAGTCAGTGAGTAGATACATATGTAGCATGTATGAGTCCATGTACTCTACTGTACGGGACGAGGTCACGATGGCAGATGTCGAGGGTGTGCCAGGGGGGGAAGGCGGCGGTGGCGGCGGGGAGGCAAAAGACGGGGCAAACGACTCAATGGGCGAGCCGAGAACACTGCAGCAGCCCATGTATGTGTACTTGTATTTGTGTGCATGTACATAGTAGAGTGCGTACCTCCATGTACATATGGACACATGTATGGATGTGTGCAGACATTACAGTCCATGTACATGGATGCATGGTAGCTAGTACATGGACAGCACTAACCATGCCATGGGCCGCCCTCCCTTTCTCCGACTCGACTGGATGATGTAGTATTGCCAAAAGGCTTCTTTGCTTCTTCTACCGCCTTACTGGACCCTGCAGCTCATCTGCAACCCCCCGCCTTCCGCCCTGCCCTGGCGAGCCCTGCCCAATATCCAGCACCGCTTCCTCCAAGCACGCCCATGGTCCGGAACGCGCTCCGCAATCCTTTCCCCCCTTCCCCTCGTCGCCCTCTTCCACTTCCCCCCAGCCAGCCAGCTAAAGGGCGCATGCATGTGCTCGTCCCGTTGCTTCTTGCTTAACAAGGCAGCCCTCCGCCAATCACGCCCACCACGACCCCGACGCTGCTCGTCTGCTTTTTTCCCTCTCTGCTGCCCTTCGCATCCCTCTTCTGCCTATACTGGCTGTCGACGGCCCGGTGGGCCAGCGCTTTGGCCCTTTTTGCTCTTCACGAGACCCGCTCCTGGGCCCTGTGGCCCACCTTGGACGCCCACTTAGCCCTCCACGTACCTTTGCGCCCCGACCCACACGCTGCTTGCCTGCCTGCCTGCCTCCTACTCTACCCTCCGTGCCTCAAGCCTCCCTAATGGCGTGCGCCCGCTGGTCCAGCAGCTAAGCCAGCTAGCACTCAGTTACCCTTCCATGGCCTCCCCGACTGCCATATAGCCCCGGCCCTCGGAAGCACGCGTCGTCTGGCTACACGTCCGACCATCTTGTTTAAGACAAGTTCACTTCCTCCTAGCGTCACTTGACCTACAAACCACGCTCTGCCCCGAGCTATCGTCTATCGTGTCTTTCAGAATCTTCATATCACCACAACTCTGCCGCTCAGACATATCCCCCCTGACCATCTCTGCTCCTCCTCCTCCTTCTCCTCTCAAGGTCCACCCACTTCCACCCTTCCAACCCCACCACACCCTCCCTGTCAAATCATTCCTCTCTACCAATCCTCTCTCTCAATTGCAACCTGCATACCCAGTCCAAAAGAGGGTACGGAAAAATAAGTGGTAGCCAAAAAAAAGCTCGCTTCATACCTCTCTTCACGCACCCGCATTCCGCTGTAAGTCCGAGCAACGCCCATGACTCTCCAACCAACGCATGCTGATTCCATGCAGACATTTCACATAATCACTTGGCCCTCTCTCTCGACACACTTTCCGTCTGTGTGGTAAATCGGTAGACTTCGGCGCCACGTCATAAATCCACACGTCCAAATGATCCAAGTCTGCTACCCTACCCCTCCTCTCAAGACCGTGCATCCGAGGCGACTCGTCCTCGCACCGGTCATACAAAATCAAACAACAATGAATCCTCCCACAGCACCAAACCCGGCCGGAGACGCGGGTGTTCTCCCAGAGTTCAACAGCCTCAGCCTCCAGGACGCACCATCTCCACCAGTAAACGATGATGAGCTCGACGTACTCAACATGTCACGCGAGACGGCCATGAAGTTGATTGCACGCTCCATCATCGCCATAGCAAACGCCGCCGGCGACGTGCCAGCCACGCCACCGCTGTCGCGACCCGCAACACCAGGCGGCCGGGAGACCCAGGTCATTCGACAGCACCGAAGAACCTCTTCTAGACCCGCCACGCCCATACCCGCCGAAAAGGAAAGCCATCAGCCTACAGAACTAGCTCCGCCAGAAGCGAGCCACGACGAGCCCGTCACCATCCACGACATCGGCGCCGGAGCCCAGCCCGAAGCGGTGCAACGCGCCAACATGGCGAGGAAATTCTTCTCCAAGACGGTGCCAAAGGTGGGCGTGGAAGAGTACATGAATCGCATTCAGAAATTTTGCCCGTTATCGACTGCAGTCTGGCTAGCGGCTGGATCCTACATGCTGCGCCTGTGCGTTATCGATAGGAGCGTCCCACTGACCTATCGCACCATGCACCGGCTTATCCTGGCCTGTGCACTGGTGGCGATGAAGGCGCTCGAGGATCACCGATGGCCTCAGAAGCGCTTTGCGGCTGTAGGCGGCGTCGACGAGGCTGCGCTCAGCCGTCTGGAGCTGTGTGTCGAGTTCCTGCTGTCGTTTGATGTCCAGATCTTCACTCCAGAGAAGCTCCGGGAACTGACACTGCAGCTGCAAAAGGCGGGTCAGGCTGCCACCATGACGTGCCGGTTGCCAACAACTTTTAACCTTCGATTGGGTACCCCCAAGATGCGTAATGCGCAGGTAGCGTGAGTGTTTGTTTCAAGGAAGAGAGAGAGAGAGAGACAGATGTGTATGGAGAGACTGAGCGGACGCAAGATGAAGCGTCATTCTCCTTGTTGTTTCGAGTTTTCAGGATATCCCCCCACCTTGAGCATGAAATCGGCGTTTGGGTAATAGCAAAACAGAGGCATCGAGATCGATGCCTGGGCAAGCGGGTCATTGTGTACTATAGACACCAAAAAGGTGCATAGGAAGAAATGTTGAAATTTGTTGGCGCGCAAACGCACGAGCCCACTTTTTGACGGTTGTTTGTGGAGACCCGAATGATGTACTCTAGATCCAGGTACCGTTCCAGTTCCAGAGTGACGACTGCCGCTGCCAAGGCTGTGCGGGAAGTCTATCAATCGCGGCTTACGGAAGACTGGAATGCCAATACTCGTCGATGCTGGCGCCGTTGATCAGCAAGCTCCACCGTGCGGCTTCGACTGCGCACCACTATCAGACGACTCCACCAGAACATGGCCATTTTTTTTGGCGGTGCGTTGTGCTGTGTTGAGGCTACGCAATGACATGCGTGCGCATCCCTGTTACGGGCAGGTTTTAGCTTGCGCGGCAACGACGATCGTGTGCCCCTGGCGCGCCACAGTCTCGTTGAACGAGTCCGGACTTGCTGCACACTTCACGCTCTGGGTACTAACAAATACCCGCCTCGTCCACGCCTCCCACCCCCACCGCTGCTGTATAGAGAATCGCAAATTCGCATCTATCACTCGCTTCATTGTCGCTCCCTAGTCGCACACTACGCCCGCCACGCCCACCATGACGCGGATACTCGTTCCCTTCGCTGCAGTCGTCGCCACGTTATCTCCCCTTGTACACGCTGGCATCAAGTTCACTGCCCCCGCAGCTGGCTCCACAATTGTCGCTGGCTCTGCCATTACCGTACAATGGTCAGAAACCGATGCGGGGCCCAAACTTGCGGACCTGAAGGGTTACCAGTTGCAGCTGGTGGTTGGAGGTAACAAGGGCGAGGAACAGGTAAGCTGAGCTTGGGGCAACGAGCATAGAGGCCGTATGCTGACATCTCTGCTAGATGATCGCGACTACCATTACCCCGAGCGGCTTATTCTCGGCCGGTAACGTAGCTTCAGGAAGGGTAGAAGCAAGTGTATCAGAGGATCTCAAGGATGCCAATGCCTAGTATGTGCACCGCCCTAGATTCCTCGACCCTCGCTCTAGCACAGGACTAATGCCGCCATCGCAGCTTTATCAAGATGATCGCGACTGGCAAGACTGGCGACGGCCAGTACGTCGTCTACTCTGATCGCTTTTCCTGCTCCGGCATGACTGGCAAGAACATCCTCAATCCGACTGTGAAAACGGCCGCCACCGACGTCACTGGTACAGCTGGACCGGCAAGTGAAGACACTTTGACCGATAAAGATCCAGCCACTGCTGGTGATCTATATGCTGTCGAATACACCATGCAGACCGACATCACTCGTTATGCGCCCATGCAGCCTGTGCCTGGCACAAAGGTTACTGCAACCAACACCCAGCCACAGTACCCCACCAGCAGTGTGAGGATTGCCAAAACCAGGCTGCCACCTCCTAGCCAAGTGAATACCATCACAGCTCAGCAGACATTTTCTACCAAGAGCAGGGCAAACACGGTATGTTGTTCGAATGATTGACAACGAGCATACGCCATCTTTTATGCCGAGGCCAATTGTGAATATTTGCTAACTGGTCTACAGGTTGCCCCGGCGCCTCACGCCACCGACGATATGGCCAAGTTCCTCAGGCGTTGGCAAGACTAGATGACCTTTTGTTTGTTGAAAGATATCAGTCCTGTAGCTCGAAGGCTGGCAGCAACCGACACATTGTTTCCAGCATCGACATTTGCACACCGCCGTAGAGCAGGCTAGTCCTGGGTATCGTGGCCGTGGACCTATAACCCATAGCATAATCACGTCGTGCCATTGTTCGCTTCGCTGCAACGCCTGCAGGATCGTTTTGTTTCACTGCATCTTTATACCTGAATAATAAAGGGATACCCGATTTTGGGCAATGACATGGCACGGCGTAGGTGTTTGGAGCTTGCTTGATTTTCTTCATGGCTAGGGGTTGTTGGCACGTTGTAATAAAGTTTAAGAAATTTATAGACATGATTATGTAGTTCTACACGCACTAGCGGATGCATCAAACGACATTTTTACAATATTGTTTTTACCAAACACTGCTTTCGTATAACTCCCATCATTTACACAGTAACCAGCTGATACGTGGAATCACACCTTCCTCATCCATAAAAGCTCGTAAATCGCATAACCGCGGCTACCCGCCACTTGATCCGATGGAATACCCGGAGTAAAACAGCCCCTATCAAAGCAGAGCTACCATTTGCAATCAATAGCATTCATTGCGATGTAGTTGAAAAATAATTGTAACATGAGTTGTTCACGTCTGCTTAGAGTATAGAGTGTTAGATTTACTATCTTGGAAGATAATATATTTTTTCCAAAATACTAGTGTGCAGTTCCATCTCATCAACATTACGTTGTTTTGGTGAGAGTAGGGTTTATCCGAGTATTTCGTCGGACTAAGAGCCGCGCCTGCCAGGCTCGAGTCTCACCACCCCACCACCCCCACCTTTCCAACCCGAGCTATCTTTTGCATCTAATCAACTGACGAGGCAACTCCGACAGCTCACGCCCCCTTCCCCTTCTTATGTACAACCTCTTGCCCCAAATCAGTCGCTCCCTTCGACACACTCTGCGTACTACCGCTGCACGAACTTCGCAACGACGATTAGCGAGTTCCGCAACTGCAACACCGTGCCTGTACAGCCTATCTACAGAGAGCGAGAGTTGGATCAACGTGACCAAAATGGCCATTGCTGAGAACTACGACGAGGTCCTCAAGGGCAAGTACCCAGCTAAAGAGCATGCGAAAAAGGTCAAGGAGTGGTTGGTGAGCAAAGGTGGGGATAAGAATGGAACGATTTATCTGGAGGCTCAGAAGCAAAAGCTAAATGAGGATAACGATGGAGAGGCGCCATTCCGGTACGAAGAACAAGACGAAAGATGTCTAAGGGACTTATGCTAACCACCCCGTCTCTAGACAGCGACGTTACTTTTTCTATCTCAGTGGTTGCGAACTCCCAGACGCGTACCTCAAATATGAGATGGCCACTGAGAAGCTGACACTCTTCATTCCTCCTGTGCACCCGGATGAGGTCATCTGGTCAGGCCTGCCAATGAGCCCAGAGGAAGCAAAGGCAAAATATGATATTGACGAGTGCTTCACCACCGACGAGCTAAACTCGCACCTTGCCAGCACATCCGAGTCATCACAATCAACAATTTATGCCATCCCAGAACAGGTATCAGACCACGTCACCTTCATCGCGTTCAAGGAAAAGGAGTTTACCCAACTCAAGACGGCCATTGAGTACTGCCGAGTTATCAAGACGGACTACGAGGTTGCTCTTATCCGCAAGGCAAATGTCATTTCTACTGCAGCTCACGTAGCTGTCATGAAGGCCGCTTCCAAGGCGCAAAACGAATGCGAACTCGAAGCAGTTTTCCTCAAGGCCTGTGTTGAGCGCAACGCAAAGAACCAGGCCTATCACTCCATTGTCGCTGCAGGAGAGCACGCAGCCACACTGCATTATGTCCACAATGCCGCGCCAATTACAGACCAGAACCTCCTGCTGCTGGATGCTGGATGCGAGCTCGACTGCTATGCGTCAGATATCACACGCACATTCCCCATCAAGGGCACATTCACAACCGAGTCTCTAGCCATCTACAAGATCGTTCTAGATATGCAGCTGCAATGTATCAATGCACTCAAGGCTGGCGTCGTGTGGGACCATGTCCACGAACTTGCTCACAAGATTGCTATCAAGGGACTCTTGGATCTCGGTATCCTGAAGGGAGATGCCGAAGAGCTGTTCAACAAACGAATCAGCGTAGCGTTTTTTCCACACGGCCTGGGCCACTACCTTGGAATGGACACTCATGACACTGGCGGCAACGCAAACTATGCGGACAAGGATGTCATGTTTCGATATCTCCGGACACGAGGTGCGCTACCAGAGCGCAGTGTGATTACTGTTGAGCCCGGAATCTACTTTTGCAAGTTCATCATTGAGCCATATCTCAAGGACGAGGAGAAGAAGAAGTATATTGATGAAAGTGTGTTGGATAAGTACTGGGCAGTGGGAGGAGTCCGAATTGAAGGTAAGTAATAGTGGTTTAAACAAGGTTCCGCGGAGCTAACATGATTTAGATAATGTGCTCATTACGAAGGACGGAGTGGATAACCTGACGCCGACACCCAAGGATGTTGACGACATCACCCAGCTGGTCAAGTCTGCATAGGTTGTGAATACGTTCACGGCAAGGCAAAGCCATACCTAGCGCATATAGACATGAATATATCATTTCCGATGAACGAATATAGAGACCTTCTACGCATAGTATAGCGTTACCATCATACAGCAAGGCACGCGCAGTATTCCCCAATCACATGGACTAGCAGTAACCTCCATTCCGAGATGCTCGTCTGTATTCCCTTTATGGGCCCGGAGTATGATGGTCCGTTTCGCATTGATTGGTGGGCATTGACATCCTTGCCCTTTTCGCCTAGTTCATTTAGCGATATTGCCATAGTCACGTTGAGTGTGGGAACCCCCCCTGTTTCCGGCCACTGTCTAGCTCTCTTGTGGAGAGGTTCCAAAGGTGGCATCATGTATGCCAACCCTATCAAATTAAACTAGTCTCGAGGCACGGAATTGTGAGTGTCCGGGGCTAAAAAGGGCTTTTTTACTAAGAAGGGTTTGCGTGTGTGTAACGAGGAGTGATGGATGGGGGGAGGGGGAGGGGGTGGGGATATATAAATGAAGAGCTGGGGTGAGTTGTGGTAGGTAGGTTACGCAGTGCTCAGGTGCCTTTGTTTCTTTTTCTTTTTTCTGGAGAAAAGATGTTTGCACCACTTCTTGCTGTTGCGGCTCTCTTTGGGCTGGCTGTAGGCCAGAAGATTACTCTTCAAGCGGAGGATGCTACGCTCTCTGGTACCACGGTTGGCTCTTCAGTCGCAGGCTTTACAGGTAAATCCGTCCTTCACTCATCTACAACTTGAACCTGTACAGTGCCCGCTAAACCAGTGTTTTTTTTCTTGTCTAGGAACCGGATATGTAGAAGGCTTCTCGGATGCCACAGACAAAGTGACTTTCAACATCAGCAGCCAAACGGGGGGTCTGCACGACCTCGAGTTGATCTACAATGGACCGTACGGTGACAAGTTCACGAACATTGTCTTTAACAATGCGGGCGGCAGCCAAGTCAGTCTTCCCGCGACCACAAAATGGACGACGGTGCCCGCGGGCCAGGTGCTGCTCAAAGCAGGTATAAACACAGTTGAGATCCAGAGCAACTGGGGTTGGTACCTCATCGATGCCATCACCCTTACGCCCACTGCCCAGCGACCTCCGCACAACATCACCACAACCCCCGTAAACCCCAAAGCAAACGCCGACGCCAAAGCGTTGCTGAAATACCTCGTCAGCATCTACGGCAAGAAGATCCTTTCAGGCCAACAAGACCAGGCATCTTTCGACTGGGTAACTACCAACGTCGGCAAGACACCCGCCATTCTCGGCCTCGACTTGATGGACTACACCGACTCCCGCACCTCACGCGGCGCCTCCTCCAAAGACATCGACTACGCTCTCGCTTTCGCTAAAAAGGGGGGCATCGTAACCTTTGTGTGGCACTGGGGCGCACCCACGGGCCTCTACGACACAACCGAGCAACCCTGGTGGTCCGGCTTCTACACGAGGGCTACGGATTTCGACATCTCTCTCGCGCTATCCTCTACGACAAACGCAAACTACACGCTGCTCCTCCACGACATCGACACCATTGCCGCGCAGCTCAAAAAATTGCAAACAGCCGGCATCCCCGTCCTCTTCCGCCCGCTCCACGAAGCAGAAGGCGCATGGTTCTGGTGGGGCGCCAAAGGCGCCGCCCCGGCCAAACAACTCTACCGTCTCCTCTACAACCGCCTCACCACCACACACAACCTGCACAATCTCATCTGGGTCTGGAATTCCGTGAGCCCGGAGTGGTACCCTGGCGACGACGTCGTGGATATCGTTTCTGCGGATACGTATGCGCAGGGCGACCACGGTCCGCAGTCGGCAACGTTCAATGCCTTGTTGAAGTTGGGGAGTAGGGAGAAGATTGTGGCGGCGACCGAGGTGGGGAGTGTCATGGAGCCTGCCGATCTTCAGGCCTATAGGGCGGATTGGGCCTGGTTTGTGGTGTGGGGGGGTGAGTATATTAGTGGCGGGGTGTGGAATAGTGTCGAGTTTTTGAAGAGGGTTTATGGGGATGCCTATGTGCTTACGCTAGATGAGATTCAGGGGTGGAGGCGGACGTGAGGGTTAAATGTTTTTTGAGGGGGGGGGGGTTTGTTTGTATGTAGGTTTGATGTTGGTGGTGGGGATGTGGGAGGGCGGAGGCTAGACTAGATAAGGAAGGGAAAATGGCTTATGTTAGTAGGGGCCTCAGGCTATGTTGCTTTGCTCTTTGTCCGCTTTGTACTAGGGGCACGCAAAAGTAAGCGGGGCTATGTATCTATGTGAATGATTCATACATAAGTTCACCTTACCCTTTACTATTCTTCCTTCTTTTTCTTGTGAAGTGCTCTTTTTTTCTTTTTTCTTTTTTCGATTTATACTTTGAATACTAAAACTATCGACAATGTCGGAAGCTCAACGCCCCAAAGTCGGTGTCGGCGTCATCATCCACGACGAGGCTGGCAACATCATCATGGGCGAGCGCGCAGGCAGCCATGGCGCTGGTATCTCTACCCTTTTCTCCATCCATTCCCCCCCCCTTCCCCTTCGTCCTGCATGACTAACATATATACTCCCAAAAGGCACATTCCAATGTCCCGGCGGCCACCTCGAATACTCCGAATCCTTCGCCGAAACCGCCGCCCGCGAAGTGCTTGAAGAAACCGGTCTGCAAGTCGGCAACATCAAGTTTCTAACTGCTACAAACGATGTGTTTGGCGAGGGCAAGCATTACGTTACTATTTTTGTCACGTGTACGATTACTGGGGAGGATAAGGTGGCTAAGGTTTGTTTCCCCCCCCCCCCTCTCCTTCCATTCTCCCCTCCCCCCCCCATATCTTTTTTTCATTATGCAATTCTACTACGGCTTTCCATTTCTGTGCTTCTCTGAGATATTTGATAAATTGCTGATGTTTATGACACGATAAGCCGATGGAACCGCACAAATGCGCGGCGTGGGAGTGGGTGCCGTGGAGTCAGATGTGGGCTTGGGCCGGGGAGCAAGCGGCGGCTGAGAAGGAAGGTAGGGAGGTCAAGAGGAAGATGTTTTTACCGCTTGTGAATCTTTGGAGGGAGTATCCGGATTTAGAGTTTGCGTTGGGTGGGGAGAGGTAAGGAAAGGAAGAATGAAGGGGATGTTGGAGGTCCCTCGCTTTGCTCGACGGCCCATATATGAGGCATGCGATTTTCTTGGTTTCCGGGAAAAGCGAAATTTACTACGAGCTTATCCTCCATCAAGCAAGTTGAAACAAACTGGCTTTTGATTGACCTGGACTCTACGATTGTGGGAACACGATGAGATATCAAGTAATGTAAACTTGTATGAACATCCCTGAAGAAAAGGAAGACATTCAGCTTACACAACAAAATCCCCACTCATGTCCTGAACCATCATTGCAAAATAGAATTCAAGAAGTAAAAGAAATACATCCAATTACGATGCTAACTTCCTCGACGACACTACCTCCCACTCACTAAACTAACATAAATTCACCCTCGCCTCCCCTTCCTTTCTATACACATCCTTCTACCACGCCTCACTTCCAACCGCTCAACCCCGCCCAAGGATCATGTGCTCCACCCGCACCTTGATTCTGCCCTCCCTGTCTCTGCGGATGAGCGTAACCCCCTGCTCCACTCGGATATCCAGGCTGAGAAAAATGGCTATAGTCTTGCTGATGGCTTGGCGGGGGCCCAGGTGGTGGGGGAGGAGGAACGTAACCTTGTGGCAGGTTAGGTGGCTGTGGCGTACCACTCCATTGTTGCTGCTGCTGTGGAGGCTGACCCCAAGGCTGGTGTTGTTGATGCTGAGCCGGCGGTGGAGAAAAGAACTGCTGATGCGCAGGGGGAGAAACGGGGTTGTATTGGTTGTGGACTGCAGGGTTGTAGCCTGAAGAAGACTGTGACGACTGTGATTGATGGGCGTATTGTTGCTGGTAACTCTCTCGTCGTGGGGGAGCTTGGTTGTAGCTGTTTGAAGGCTGGCTGTAGCCTTGCTGTGGCGACATGTACTGCTGGGTTGGGGCTGTAGTAACGGGGTAACGTGGCGTGACAGGTGGTGAGGCTGCAGGATTATACGCTCCGTGGCTAGCCCCTGAGGTTGATGGGTAACTAGGAGTTGACGACAGCGGTGGCGGTATGCTCTTCTTTCGGCCTGAGCCCTGTGATACAGGCGAGCCAGAAGGCTCCATTGACATTCTTTCCATGAGTTCCTTCATTCGTTGCTGTTCCTGATCTGCACCTTGCGCCTTGTTTCGCTCCTCTATCTTCGAGAGAAGCTGCCCGCCTTCTCCTCTTCGGTTATTAACAAAAGTTTCGACATTCTTCAAGAGACTCGAGACAGTATCCTTCATCTCCGAATAAAAGCTCTGGGCACGTGACAGGCCAGCAACAAGGTCATTGAAGCTCTGGTACACTCTCCGGTACTTAGTCATGACCGTATTCCGTTGTCTCGAAAAGGCCTCGTATTTGCTCTGCTCAGATCGTACACGTTTGTCTTTTAGCAAGTCTGAGTAAGTGCGCGTAAGTTCTTTGAGAAGTGATGCCTGTTTGTGGTTCGCCTGTAGGATGCGGTTCTGGTGTGGCCGGAACTTTTCAAGCTCAGCTTTGAACAACTGCGCTTCTTGATTTGCAATGGCTTTCTTGTTAAGTATGAGAACGTTGGAGATGTCGTCAGAGTGAACCTATTTGGTCAGTAAAGTGCAGCTCAAAACTCGAGTTGGCATGCCTACTTTGTCTTTGAGGTCCTTCAGTATCTGCATCCTCTCCTTTTTGACAAGATTCAGCTTCCGCAGGATATCCTCAACAGCGCCAATCTGGTCTGTAACCGAAGGACCCTCGTCAATGTCCTCGTCAATCAGAGTACCTTCAGTTGGCCTGGGGCTCTTTCCCTTGGTTGCACCGGCCTTGACCATGGCTCTCGAATATAGCACATCGGCTTCGTCCGTCTCGCCGGCTGATCGCATTTCGTCAAAGTCGGCTTCGTATTGGCGGAATGTGCTGTAGAGCTGAGCATCACTGCTGCTTGCCTCTTCAACCGCTCCACGATAATTCCTGATGTCGCTCCGCAATGTCGAGGTTAAGCGCGAACTGGGTTGCTGCGTCCATTCTGCTCCGTACTTTGATCTCATCTTCTCGCAAACGCTTTCTTCCATGTCCAATTGTTTCATACTCGACTCCAGTGAATTGATAATCTCAGATTTGTCGCGATCCAGTTGCTCAAAGGCCGCCCCAAAGGATTGGTGTCCAGCAAGCTCCTCGCACCACATTCTGAAATCATTATCGACCATCATATCCTGATCCATACCACCTCTTATGACGTTGAGACTATCGGGCAGCTTCAGGTAATCCAGACCAGCAGCCATCTCATCGTTGGCTACTTCGACTCGCTCGCTCTCCGCGCGGATGAGTTTGGCTTTTTCTTCGTCGTATAGACTGGCTGACTCAGTCACAGCTAGAGGCACAATCTTCTGGAAAATGTCCGGTCCGATGATTCGCTGGATATCTTGGCCCTGGTACAGCTCGCTGACGGGTATCGCTTTCGCCGCAGGCATCTTCGACACTGGCGTAAGCGACGCCTCATTTGGAATGCCTTGGTGGTAGATGAAATCGTTATCTTTTGAAAACTCGGCCAGTTTCTCCTGTACATTCGCTAAATGCTTTTTAGTCATCTCTGATAGTATGCTACCCGTGTCTGAAGCAAGATTCGAATTGGCAGGTGCATTGTTGGGAAAACTGCCTGCCGCTCGAGTCGCATCTTTGGCACTTGCTTCGGCCACCTGAAGTCTACAGATTGCGATACCGTGTGAGTTTGCGTCATCGTCAGCTAGAGCCTGATAGTACTGGGCCAAAGAAGCCATATGGTGTGATTTGATCTGTTGAGCAATCAGTCTTGACCTTCAAGTATGGCTGTGATGCTCCTACCTGACAAACCAATAGCCAAACCTTCTCAAACACAGCATTGGTGACATTCTCTTGTGCGCCTTCTGTAGCCTGCGTATACAAGAATGCAGCCTGGCTCGCCAGTTTTGCGAGTAAGCCAACCTTCTTTCCATCTGCAATCTGCTTTTCTAGAAACACCTCTTGCGCCTGCGCCAGCATGATGGCAATGAGCGTCTTGACAGTCTCCCGGCTAAGATCGGTCGAGGGTGCGTGGAGGAAGTTCTCGTTGATGTATGTGAACATGCCGGCGGACGCCTGGAAGGAGTGATACGCAGTCTTGAGCCCCACATCCTCATGTCTGTTCTGGTGGGCGGCGTGACAGGATAGGACGGCTGAGATGTTGAAGATGATGCTGGCCTTTTCGTATGCGAGCGAGTATTGCGAGGTCGGCTTGTGTGTAAAAGCATCGAACCTGTCGTCAGTCAGTGGTGGCTGTCCTACATCTGCCTAACTCGTCTCTGCTTTCTATGCACCGCTCATGCCTATGCAGCGACACTTCCACAAACGTACCACGTAAAGCTAATCTTGATGTGGTTCTCATCCACTGGGAATCTCAAATCGAGCAGTTCCAGCTGTCCATAGTAGCGATACAGTAAATCTCTCCCTGCTGCACTGTCCTTGCCGGCGCCTCTCATGTCCTGGCGCAGGCGGTTCAACGTAGCGCATTCTTCCGAGTAACGTTCTGGGTCGTCGCCGTACGTGGCTCGTATGTACTGTTTCAGTGGAGCTATCCAGTCAATCTCGTTGGTCTGCTTGAGCGGGACCGAAATCATGGGTATTTGGGTCGTCATGATGGGCAATGTATGCGCAGTGTCAGCCGCCCCTGGGCGCGTCTTCAGAAGAGGTATTGTCGCAGAAGTGGGCTGGTCGTGTCCCTCGGGCAGCGATCAGCGATGAGCGATGACGGTGACGGGCGACAGGCAACGAGCGACAGGCGACAATGCGGGAAGTGGGTTCTGGTAGGCCTTGGACAGGACGCTAGGACAATTGCTCCAGCACCGTATGCGCAATGCTCGTGGGCCAATGTCGCGGGTGTTCTTGGAGTCGTAGCCAGGCAATCACGCAGCAAATGGAGTGGCGGACATGGGGGCATGCAGCACAGCGAACAATGATGCGTTGTTGGTCGGAGTGGGCTGTTCACCGAGGCACAGCTTGGTCAAGCCGCATAGGGCACGTATGCGAGCGATTGCGTTGCGACACGGTGAAAGCTTATATGGTAGCGATGTTGCAGTAGCTAATGCAGTGCCGTTGGTGAGCTCCGGAGGTGTCGACGACATACGGCGAAGCAGGAGCACGAGGACGAGGTAGCCGGTGGTGGGGGCCCTGCCAGGCACATGCATATAAGCAACACCAGACCCGCGCCCTCACCAGCCCGTATCCGCCTATCACCAAGCACGCACACTACCAAGGTCAGACCGCTATCCGTATGTAATGCTCTCCTCTTGTCACACCGTCGTGAGAATCTAGCGAGCCCAAGTGGGCGATCCCATGTCTGCCGCTTGCGCCCGCCCAATAACATTCATAAGAGGCCGCATCGCTACGCGCCCGCGATATTGGCTGTGCAAGACTAGCGAGCCTTCACCTCAGGAAACACTTGACGAGGATAAGAAACAGTCAGGGATAAGTCAATCTCTGTTCATGTCAATCATAACGGGCGTTATATTATACAAGCCTTGAGTCGAGAGGCTGGATACAAATACTTCTATACACCATGTCCAAAGCAGCTTCTCATGCGCCGTCCAATGCTACCCGGTATTTTGCTGCGAGTGCGCCTCCCACATGGCGCCTAGACTCGCCGTGTGCGCCAGTACATTCATACAATTCTCTGTGCCATCAACCTATGCTCAGCCCGACCCCTTCTTCTTCTCGTCTTCTTCCGCCTGCCGTCGTTCTTCGGGGCTAAGGTGCTTATGTTGCCCAGTCAGATTGTGCCATGCGTTCTTGAGGAACCCCTCGTTTTCATGTCCGGTTTGAGTCGTGTTGCCTGCCTCATCCTTCATCTTGCCAGGATTGATGACCCGCTGTGCGTTCTTATCTCCCATCTCATCCGCAAGCATCTCGAGAATAGTTCGCTGGTTGACGCTGAGATACTTGGGCATATTGACTTTGAACTCTACACGCAAGTCACCCTTGCCGCCACGTCGTCCAGAAAGCACCTTCATGCCCATGCCAGGAAGAGTAATGCGGTCTCCCGTGCCGGAGCCAGTTGGCACCTTGACCTTGACTTCACCGTCCAGGGTGGGAACCTTGATTTCACCTCCCAACACAGCAGTAGTCAGGGGGATAGTCGCCGTGTGGAGAATGTCGGAGCCGTTCCGCTTGAACTTGGAGTCGGTAGCCACGCGAATGAGGACGTAGAGATCTCCCTTTTGACCACGAATCTGGCCAGAAGACATGGCTTGTCCGGTAAGTGGCGCATCTCCCTCGCCGTTGACGCGCAGGCGCATGCCATCTTCGACACCACCAGGAATTTCAATCGTGATGGTTTTTCTTTCCTTGACTGCTCCGTCGCCACCGCAAGTGCCGCACGAAGAGCCTCGGGGGATTGCGAATCCTGAACCGCCGCATGACGAGCAAGTTGCACTCATGTGGAAGCCGCCCATGCTTGTTACCCTCTGTCCAGTACCCCCACAGCTCTTACACTCTGCTCGTTTTGCTCCCTGCTTCAGCCCACTGCCACTACACGTCCCACACTCGACCAGTGGTGTAATGTGAATATCTTTCTTAACGCCCTTGGCTGCATCCAGGAATGAAATGTTTGTTTGCACTTCGATATTGTCGCCCACCAAAATCTCCTCCTCGAAAGGATTCCTCCGCCCACCCGCCCTTCCTCTTCGACCGCCCGTGAATGCCCCGAACAAGTCCTCAAAATTGATGTCTTGGAACGGACCCTGTGCGCCACCGCCAAAACCACCAAAACCACCAAAGCCCCCGCCAAACGGATTGCCCCCAGGCCCCCCAGGCCCAGCACCGGCACTGGCGCCAGGATTGAAGCCACCGTTGGCATCGAAAGCGCCTGCGCCGTACGTATCAAAAGCCTTCTTCTTCTCGGCGTCGGATAAGACTTCGTATGCGGATTGCGCGGCAGCAAACTTCTCTTTTGCGCCAGCGTCCTTGTTCGTATCAGGGTGGTATTTCTTCGCCAGTCCATAGTATGCTTTCTTGATGTCGGCTGGCGATGCATCTCTACTGACTCCAAGCGTCTTGTATGGGTCGGCCATGGCGAATGATTGAGGGGAAGCATGGAAGAACTGGACAAAGCATTAGCATACATATCTCTTCAGAGGCATGAGAGGGATAATCGTACTCGTATTGACTGTGTGCTAGTCTGAGGCTGTCTTTGTGCTATTGAGGGTCTCCGCGGTTGTGCTCTTGTCGCTTGCGTCGCTATGCATCGCCGCTGGCACTTGGTAAGAGACCTTGAACCAGCGATGCGTACGGGAGCCACTGCTTTGAGTGGCATTGGGCCTACGAAACTCATCTTGGAAGATGTCGGGAATTGATCAAATGAGGGTGGTGATGCCAATCTACAATATCCTTTGCGACCCAGGCGGTAATGTCTTACCCGACAGTTGATAACTTTTTGCGGGCACGGGCCGGTGACGCACCGCCATTGGCCGCCCTCGGTAAAGAGCGCGTCGAATCTTCGAGAGTATGCCACGACGCGATGTCGGCCTGAGGCTACACTGGACAGCTGGGTAATGGAGAATAGCTTGAATTGTAATTAGATGGTCGATGCGCTACTGCAAGCCTACATCTCTGCGCAAAGAGGTCTTTCCTGCTGTCACCACCACCACGCATGCACTCAGACTGCACATGGAGAGCACACCACATTCAGACCTCCACGACCCGCTATATACCGGCACCATCCAGCGCAGAACCGAACCTTGACAAAATCCAAATGCTCGTTATCCACAATGCTCGTATCTATACATGTCGGATTGCGCTGTATGCGTGCATGACTGTACCGTAATCATCCACAGCCCCGGTACAGCCCGCAGTGCGTAGCACTTCTTTCCCTAGTCATAAGATGCCCGGTGTCCCAAACGCCTATTGAATGCTCATATCCCATAATATGTGTATAAAGATCGGAGGCGACCGCGCGCCAAAGAGGGGGTATCGTCGAAAGAAAAAAGGCAAAAATGCAGTACTATGTGTGTGCGGAGTGGCCCATTCATTTCCTGTAAGGGGCGAATCGTACTCTAAATTCTTTGTCTAGAGGTTCGATTAGCAAGGCTGTTGTATAGGAACGGCGCCAGCGGGCGTACCTTGGTGTTTTGACTTGTACAGCCAGTCAACAATCACGTCACTCTCGGTGACGGCCTGCGAGTTGAAGCTCTTCTTGACTGCCAGCCCCAACTGGTCCTTGTGTACACGGCGCTTCGACTTGGGCCGCGCCATAGTCGGGGACATTGTTCCGATCCCTTGGTTCAAAACGACGTGGCTGAGGGGGTTCTTGAAGCTCGACGGGCAGTCGAGGCGATAGGCTCTTCGGTAGCCGTGGAGCACAGACGAATCCTGGGCTGACCATTTGATCTGTCCACGGCGGGCGCATGTTAGCAAATCCACAAGCTGCTAGGCGACGGGACGGGAAGAGAGGCGCGACGAACATTGCCTGAGGAGCTGAGGTCGACCGAAGTGTTACCACTGTTGGTAGACGCATTATCTACTTCCTTGAGACCACTGCCGTTCATGACGCTGGTCGCGCCGTTGCGACGGCCGCCGCGAGGGTTCGAGGCTTGGAGCGTGTGCAGTTTGTCCTTGAGCGACGGATGGGCGTCGTCGGGGTTGTGGGTGCGTTTTGGCGGCATTGTGCAAGGCCAATGGACGGCTGCAGCGAGATACAGACACGCTGGGGGCTGGTGAGGAGCGTGCGAGGAGTCGTCGAGGAGTCGCGATGTCTGGTCATGCGCTGTCCTAGTACGGGCGGCCAGCGAGAGGAGAACAAAATGACGGCAAAGGGTCCAAGCGTAGTAAATGACGTTGGCGCGCCTCGGTCAGGGTCCGCCCTCGCATTTGCATTCGTCCCCTTGCCCTCCTCCTTCCCCTGCATTAGGCCTCCGTCAACCCAGATTCCATCCAAGTCGAGAGCGAATGTGTGTACGGGCATGTTGGCAGTGGGCGGCCGTCGCTCGCCCTCTGCTTTTGCCTCGCCCGGCTTTGGCTCTTATGCACAAGGCGCTACATGGCTTCGTCGTCGCGTAAGTCGCGCGTCGCTCCTCGGCTTTCCCCTCACCATCCATCCCGGCCCCTCGCCTGAGACCAATAGTGCACCCCAAAGTGGAAGCACTGCCGATGTCGCTGACACGGTCTGGATGGCATTGGGCTCCTTCACCATGCCATTTGGAAAGCAGAAAATAAAACGTCCAGTCTGCTCGTACATGGAATCGGCCAGCCATCTCGGCCCTTTGCCGCCCGCATGCCCTTCAAAAGTGGAGACGCGTAAGCTCGCGTGCAAATGTTCCCCTGGCCCTCAGCATCTGGCCGTGTAGCCTCCTCGTACTACACAAATCGCCCGTGTCTGTCGTTTGGATGCGCATAGTGGCCCGAGAAAGACGACTGCCTTGGGTAGCGCGGGGGCGCAGAGATTGACGAAGAAGCTGATAAGCGAGTGCCACAACGACAAAAAGGAAGAGCAGATGCTAGTTGCAGTCGGAATCCTCTCGGGACCCAAGTAAGTACCCGCAGCTGGGGTTAGCGCAAGTCGGGGTTCAGTAGAGATGGGTGAGTACCGGAACGAGTAATAGTCGAGTGACAATCTGTCCAAGGTGATTGGACGTCAGTCCAACCAGCCGCATCATAGACGAGCTGGTTCGGCCAGCAAAAGACACTGTCCCGGCCACATGCGTGGATAGTAAACGTATTTTTGAGACCTTTTCTGAATACGATCGCGTATTGTTATCTTGTCTATGCATGGTCTATCTTGCCTAGTCACTTGAGTTCACAATTCACATGTATGCACTCTATCAGACTTACTTTCACTTCACTCACTTCAAGCGACATGAACAATCACCGCTTCACCACCGCTTCTCTCACCTTTCGCCTACATAGGCAGCCTCCACACAGCTTTCAGCAGCCTCCACCATCTCCTCACCACCACACTTCTCTGCTACCTCATCCAGAGGTCTTTGGCCCACTAAGGCCTCTACCAACATCACACAAGTCAGCTAGCCATCAAAGTTGCAAGCATTGACTATTGGCTCACGGTAGCTCTCCTAGGCCTCTCACCTCTTGGTTTATTTTAAGCTAATATTCGTAGCAGTCTTTGCTTAACTTCAACCTTCCTAGCTGCAAGAAACCTCATAACTTCCTCCGTACTTACTGTATCCAAACCCGACATGGCCATTCCCTTCAAGTATTCTTCGTGCCCCGTCAAAACCATGGGTAAAACCCTTGATCCTGCAGCCAGTAAGTTCTTGCCGACTGCTTCTCAGCAGAACGAGGCCCTTCAGGCAAGCAGTACTTTTACTTATCTCGAGTCTCGTGTCCTGAACCTCGAAGAGAGGCATGCAGGCTTACAGGAGGATATCGTTGGTCTCAAAGAACTCTGGCACTCCCTTTCCATCACCGTCGACAAGCTGAACAAGCCTGACTTTCCAGTACACGCTGGTGCGTTGCGAACTGCCAGTGACATTGAAGCATCACTTCAAAACGCCAAACACTTCGGCTTGGAGTTGAAAAGGCTTAAGGAAGAGGCTCATCCATCTGTGAACAACGGTTCCGACGGTACAGCCAAGACGTCGACTCCTCCTCATTTGCGTAAGAAGGTTGCATCTAGCATTAGTGATAGGTGAGTTTTGTATACCCTGATATTCATCGAACAGTCGAAAGCTGATCATCCGGCAGTCCAAAACAGAGTCAAGCTGCCGTTGCACTTGTAGATTCGCAAGCTAAGCAGCAGCTAATGCCAGCGCCGACCCCTCCTCCTTCCCCCAAGATCACCGTCCCAGGCAAACCAGAGTCTTGGAAGCCTCACCATATCACCACCTTGGCTCCATTCGCAGGCAACATCCCATGTGCAGATGTCACGTTTCATCCAGACTTCCTTGCAAACCATCTGGGTGGTATTCCTTGGTCACCAGGTCTACGGTTTGTTAAAGGCAAAGGCCCTTGCATACTCAGGAACCGTACGTAATACCAGCTTGACCTGGAAAACGAACCATATCTCCCTCAAGCACCTGGCATGCACGGTGCCAAACTCACGGCATTCTTCAATAAGGCTCCTGAAGAAGAGTTTGGCGGCCTTTTCGACGCTGATTCCAACTCGTACGAGAATGTACCTATGTTTGTTCTTGTCGACAAGCGTTACGTGTACTATGGCAATTACTCGCAGACCCGCTGGTCCGACAAGTTGGATCATGACACCATGGCGACTAAGGTTCCTGAGAATGTCAAGAACTTCTGGGCCGAAGAGCTCGCCTCGCCGACAAGGGACGAATGGGTTACTGAGGAACTTAAGAAGCACTTCTTCCGCAGGCCTGAGTATAGCGGCTGTCTTTTTGCCTCCCCAGACAATGAGACTACTGTCAACTCTGTCGAAGACGCAAAGCTCACAGAGAAAATGGTTAGAGATGTGCGCAAGTATGTCGATGAGCTTCGTCAGTGGGATCGTGAAGCCTGTATGAAGACGGCCATGATTAAGAAGCAGTCCATTCTTGATGCATTCAATGCAGTAAGTGATTTGACAGTACAGAAAGAGATGTTGCTAACTACATGCAGTCTGACATGGACGAGACGCCTGCACTTCGTCTCTGGTGGGAGTACCTCGAGTGTGTCGACTGGAGGAAGGACTTCTATGACCTCTTGGTAACTCTCCAGAAGCGCGAGGGGCAGAAGTACGCCTGAGTAGCTGCCACTATGCGTGCTAAGATTGTTCGAGAGGTAAACATCTGTCAAAAGGAGAATTGGTTCTAGTCCTTTGGTTGCAGAGGGTTATTGATGAAATATGGCGTTGAGGCAGGATATTCACTTCTCACATGTGAGCATGAAGAAGCATGGGTGATACTCAAGTCTAGAAAGGAGATGAGGTGAGAATCTCCTCCTTTCTTCTTGGGCAATGGTTTGGGTATCTTTGATTTGGACGTCCTGAGTTCATCAAGATGCAGTAATGTCAAATTGGAGTGACCAATCAACTCCTAACACAATCGTTCCCCTTCCTTTCGGCATAGACTTTTTGAGTAGCAATCTCAAGCGCGGAAGTATCACATATACTCATGCCTGGGCAGCATTTCCTCCTGTCCTGAAACTGCAGCGGCGCCGCCCCACCTAATCAACACTATTCACACACAGTTTGCACGACTGAACAAGCCTAGTCTATTCTGCCACAGTCCAATACAGAGCTTGGGAAATTCCGTGTTCGTGTCGGAACTTTGGTCAATGTGCCCGAGGCGCAACGCACATTTTTCTGCATCTCAATCTTGCCATGGACCAGGCACTCTGTTCAACATCTCATTTGTTGGCTAACCATGCTTCGGTCGATTCACAACTCACGCAATTTTCTCCGACCAGGCATTACTGCACGGCGCTACAGAGTAATATATGTTGTTGGGGCAGATGACATAGCGCATTGCCTAGATTCATGAGTAACTTTGAAAGTGGGTATCATCACCATCCTGAGATTGATGTGACACGACATTAGCAAAGATGTTAAAGGTTCATCTGAACTTTCAGTAATTATCCGCAGTCGAATCTCCGGTATTATGCAATACCTGTTTGGGAAGACTCTTCTCAGCCCCAATGTCTGTCGTCGTTGTCATTGGACCACTGACAGTACTACTGGCCGTCAAACATCAAAGCTTTGATCGTAATACTTCAAAGCGGAACAAGCATTCAGAGCCCCGATCAGAAAGGATTTAGCGTAGAATAGCCCACGTGTCAAATCTATTACGCACCCAAGTGACGAGCCACATCCTGCCGCTTTCCCCGCAACTTTGGACTTCCGGCTGTTAACACCCCTGCACTATTCATTTATGTCACGACGAAAACTTCGTCTTATTCGTCATACTCGCCAGACTATAGAGTTTGTCTTATATTAGTATCGGATGGGGTTTAAGTTAATACTTCGATTACAATGGCTCTCTATAGGTCACGATCTCGCTAGGCTCTACATAAACAGAATTTGGGACTTGACAACTGGGTTGAGTGCTGTTTCATCGATGGGGAGGTTACGATATACAGCCCGAGTACGCGTGACACTGATCGAATATGTGGAGACTCAGGAGAGATATAAATTGATCACATTCTTGGCTCTCTTTCTCTCCACTAAAGTACGATCTTGGGTTACACTAGATAACCACCTCGGCAATCTATATACAACATGAAGGCTTCTGTATTTATCACAGCAACTGCGCTAGCCGTGACTGCACTTGCACATGGAGGCATTGACAAGTACATTACGGGTGATAAAGTATACGAAGGGTACGCCTCTTCCTACGTATGGAATACTTCGATAAGGGCTAAGAACGTTCAGATGGGAACCATACAACGACCCAGCCGGGCAAAAGAGTATACAGAGACAGTATTCATCTTATGATCCTCTCTTCATAAAGGATCTCACAGTAAGACTTCAGCACAACATAAGATACTGATATTCTAACCTGTTTCCCAGACTGTGAACATACGATGCAACAACAAGGGAGCATTGGGCACTGGTGTAACAGGCACCATCGCCGCAGGCGCCAAACTGACAACCCACTGGAAGCAATGGACTCATAGACCAGCCACCTTCATGGTCTACATGGCCAAGTGCCCCGGTTCCTGCGACAGTTGGGACGGCTCAGGCAAAGTCTGGTGTAAGAACGCACACCCATCCTACCAAACCGCCCACATCACTAACCACAACCCCTAGTCAAGATCTTCGAGCAAGGTCTCATATCCGGCACTGAAAACGCCGGTATCTGGGCCGGCGACGCCATCTTCGAAACCCTTAACGCAACCATCACCGTCCCAAATGTCCTAGCCGGCGAGTACATGTTCAGACACGAACTCACTGCCCTACACCAAGCAAACAATCCTCAATGTAACTTTCCCCTAATACTTCAACACACGATTCAGCTAATCTAACGCCCCTACCCAGTCTACCCAGAATGCGCCCAATTCACCGTCACAGGCTCTGGCACCGCATCGCCTCCTGCATCTTATCTAGTGTCGTTCCCTGGCGCGTATACAGGGACAGAACCCGGCCTTGCGTTTAATATTGACTCGGAGGATGCGAAGAAGGCGACGAAGTATCCCCTGCCGGGACCGCAGCTGTGGGATGGTACTGACAGTGGTAATGCGACGACGCCTGGATCCGCGACACCTTCGACGGCGGCTACGAAGCAGCGTGGTGCTGATACTTCGGGGCGTCTGCGCAGGCATGGGAAGTGTTAGGATATACTAGCTTCTGGGAGTTCTGTGAGTGGGTTGGTGTGCGTGGATGATGCTGGTTTGGTATAGCCAGTGTGAGCGGGATTGAGCTTGAGTGATGGATGTATATAGAATGCTGGATGTTGGTGGAGGAAAGATGGTCTGAATTTGAGTTTCAATCTAGCCCCCTCCATGTCTCGTCTCCCCATCTTCTTTCTTCTGATTCAACCCCTAGATCTCAATAACAAAGCCTTTCCCTCTGAAAAGCCACTGCGCAAATATGCATGTCATTTGACCTTTTGATGATTACTTCGACGACATTTTATCCCGCAAGTCAATTTATAAAAACAAAAAGAAGGCAGTTGATGCTACAGATTGTCAGACTTGAGCTACTTTATACATACAAGCAGTAATATCGAAATATACTCACTGTTGCCGCCATGTGCATGTACGTAGGTTTTCATGCGTGGATTGCGCAAAAGATGATTCAAACATTCACGTGCTCCGCTTCTCCACAGCAGATATCTTTGGCAGAGCATCCTTCAAATGCTCCTTGTCTTTTTCAGTAGGGACATAGCCGAGTTTTTCTTCAGCCACATCGGAGATGTAGAGGCCAACACCCGCATACGCCATGACTCCCACACCAATAATCATGCGTGTCTTGGGCGGTATGCTCTTGAACCACCTGAAACATGGTCAGTAAGTCAGAAAAATTGTGGTCATCTGGACAGGATATTTCGTACTGCCAGACGGCCATGTTGGGTGTTGTGAAGTTGCTATTGTGGTGATGCTCCAGGCTCGGCAGTAGTATGACGACGCACAACAACGCACAACGACTCGCAATGCCAAGGCCAGGCCAAGTACCAGCAGCACGCGCCATCTCACACCACAACCTCGACAACTTTCATGGTCCAACTGGTCTCTCACGGTCCTGTTGTTCCTTCCAGCTTGACGCAATTGGCAGGCCATGGCATGCCCGCGTTGAAACACTAACGTAGACTGCCCCATTTCCGCACCCCGTCTCGGAGGACAGATGTGCGCGCTATTACCACCCGCTTCTTGAGGCCCCCGCCAGCACTATACGGCTTCTAATCCTCTCCAATCATGCCCGGCTTCCGCCGCTGGGGCAAATCCAAGTTTGAACGCAATCCCGAGTCGTCGTTCAAGCTCCTCGCTGCTATTATCGTCATCACTCTCTACCTACTCTTCAAGGAGTTTCAGAACCCAACCTTTCGCGGACAGGGTGCGACGCAAGCTGGCGCACAAATACAATATGCCGACTGGAACGGCACTGGCAAGGCGGACGAGACGCGGGCAAACAGTGTGCGCGATGCCATGAAATATACCTTTTGGAAGTACAAGGAGCGCGCTTGGGGTCACGACGATATCTTGCCTGTGTCAGGGCGCAGTGCTTCGTCCAGAAATGGCTGGGGCGCTTTCATCGTAGACTCGGCAAGCACACTGGCTCTCATGGGCTTGTGGGATGAGCTAGCACTCTCGTTGGAACATGTGGTGGCTATCAACTTTACCCAAGCAGAGGACCTTGTCGACCCCTTCGAGACCACGATACGCTACTTGGGCGGACTACTGTCCATTGTGGATCTGTATGATGTTGGGCTGATTCCCGAGGATGTACTGACTGGAGAGGCGCGCGATCTCATACTTGAGCAGGCAGTTACTCTGGCAGGCAAGCTAGCGCCAGCATACGACACCCCTACAGGCTTGCCGTGGCCCCGTGTAGACTTTACGACAAAAGAAGGCGAGCCACATCCTTCTTTCATCCTACACGATGACCCCGCACAGCGCGAATTTGAGCATCCTGCAATTGGACCTGCGCGAATCGGCTCTTCAATCCTGGAAAACCGCGTTCTGACAAGGCTGACTGGCGATGATATCTACGTCTTGAATTCTACAAAAGCATGGGCACCTCTAGTGTGGTCCAATTGGAGGACACCATGGCCAGGAATGGTAGATGCCCCTGTCGATATCATGACAGGAGAGCCTGTCCGCCGCCAAAGACACTGGGATGCCGGTCACGATTCCTACTACGAGTACCTCGTCAAAGTGACAATCTTGGCACCTCCCTCAGACCCCCATCTCCCAAAGTACAAAGAACGCTTTGTGAGGGCTGCCTACTCTCTCCGTAGACACCTTGCCTCCCGCTCTGCGCCTGCACCCGGACACCTCATGCAGCACCTGTTCCTCGGTCGCCAAGATGACGAGCAGTTCGAGAATCAACAAAGCCACCTCGCCTGCTTCGCCCCCGGCACCATTCTTCTCGCCTCAAAATTCTACACTGAAAAACCCCTCCGCACCTTTGCTCTTGCACTCCTCGAGGGCTGCCACCACGCATATACTTCCACCCCCACTAAAATCGGCCCAGAAATCTGGTCCTGGACTCCAAAATTCAGCTACGACAACCCGCTCTTCGGTCCAGAGACCCCGCGTCAAAAGAAAGAAGCGTCTACCACTGGTATCTGGTCCCGCGACCCAGCGTACAAAGGTCGTCCTGAGTATGTCGAAAGCATCTTCTACGCCTGGCGTATCACCGGCGAGCAACGCTATCGCGACTGGGCCTGGGACGCTTTTTCTGCATTCGAAAAACACTGCAAGGCACCATTTGGATACGCACAGCTAGCAGATGTCTACGATACTAGTTCGCAAGATGAGACCAGATGGGTTGACGTGCAAGAAAGCTTTTGGGCCGCGGAGACGCTCAAATATCTCTGGCTTACGTTTTCGGATGTCGAGGTCGCGAGTCTGGATAGTTGGGTGTTTAGTACGGAAGGTCATCCTTTTCGGATGATTCGCTGAGCGCGAGAATGGGGTACGATGTGGGGTAGCGAAGTGTGGGGAGGAGTATTGTGATTAGAAACTCCAGAAAAAAAAACAGAAGAATGGAGGAAAGGCCACTGTATTGTAGGTGAAAAAGGGCGCAATGATACCCGGCATTTGTGTAGTTTTAGTCGAAATGAAGGAATTCAAGAAGATTAGAGATTTTTATTCCTTCTTTGAACTTTGGACTTTTGGACTTTTTTTTCCTATCCAGCGAACTTTTTATTTCAGTAAAATTTATTTCTCAACACCTGTGGCTGTGCCGTTTGGCTTTGTCTCTTCTGCCCAGCACTCGGCTATCTACCCACCCCCCCTTTTCCCGACCGTCAGCTCACCCGTACCCACCCGACGCTATACCACCCATTACAATTCACCCATCATCACAAATCACACCAAAAAAAAACACAATTTAAATTCATCACACGTACACACACCCCACATTATGGACTCTTTTGCAGGAGAGATTGAAAGAAAGGGGAATGGGGGGAGGACATTCAAGACGCATGTAGCGTAAACTTCGCAATCCAAACAAAAAGCAACCATAACTTTCAAAAGACGTTATTTTGGTATTCTCTCTGCATAAGAACAAAAAACAACAACAATGGGGGTGTCAAATAATGACAAGTAAATCTGTCAACCAACCAAGATAAATGATGATGCTGGGTATATATAAATGAGTAAAAAAGATCATGGAGATAGAGATGTGGAGAGAGAGAGCGCGCGAAGGAAAGAGAACTAATGGTAGGTATTTGTTTCGGCAGACAGGAAAAAAACAGGTGGGACATGTCGTTAGAACGCTGGGGGAAAGGGGGGGAGGGGGGGCTAAGTTTCTACCCGATTGCCCTCTCTCATACTGCTGTCGCCGCCCCCCCTTTTTTTCGTGGAAAAAAAACACAACGCGATTACGGGACCCGTTTTTTGGTAGCGGAGGAAGACTTGATTGGAAAAAAAGGAAAAACATGTAGATGAGGAGATATAGGAGTGGCGTGGAAGACGTAAGGTATAAAGGAAAACCACCCTTTTCAAACAGTACCGAGTAAGAATTTCCAGTGAAAATCATTACTCGTCACGTCGAATGAGGGGTTTACGTCACGAAGACTCGGCAGCTTCTCTGCACCATTTGTGATTCCGCCGTTGATCTTCGGGAGGGCGAGGTTATGCAGTAGCGATACTGTGCGGCCTGAGCCTGTCGAGAGCTCGAACGTGGTTCCGTTGGGACTCCCTCTGCCAGGTGCGTCGTGCAGAGCCAGACGCATAGTCGAAGTGATGCGGCGGAATCGCTCGAAGGCATCTTCTCGGTTGTTGGAGGTATCTCGTGGGCGGGGCATGAGCGAGGAGAGTTGGTCGCGGTAGTGATCGAATGTTCGTGCTAGTTGCAGCTCGCTGGGGTCCCAGCCGGGGATGGGCGATGCGTAAAGGGTGAGTTTGCTCAAGCTGGTAATGGTGTTTACAAGGTTGAGCCAGTCGATTAATGAAATGGATTCGAATTGGTTCGAGGAGAGTTTGGTGGTGTTGTCGAGGAATTGCTCGAGGGATCGCACGTACGTCACACGTAGTGACAGCTGGAACCCTGAGGCCCAAGGTGTACAGTCTCGGTCTACAAGATCGACAGAAGCGGCGATGCGGTAGAGATGTATGCGGGCTGCAAGCTGTAACCATTGCAGGGTTGCTGGTGTGCTGTTAGTGTTACTTCAATCAGGTTGTGTCTATTCAATGCTCACCAAAGTCATTCGCCTGTAGTTTGGAGGAAAGGCGAATGTTCTCCCACTTCTCGTTCAAACGATTGACTTGTGTGCGGACAACCACTGCCTGCTCTGACTGACTGCGAAATGTCTCCTCCACATCTTCCATGTACTGACAGACGTCCATCAAGATAGGGAGAACTGTGTCTGTCTTGTTTTCCCATGAAGAAGCCAATTCAGAAGCGTAATTTCGGACAGTCGTCGTGTGTGACATGGATCGTGCCTTCAGAGGCTGCATCAACCCTATATTGGAGGATAGATAGTAACATCCCAGGTAAGCCCGTTTAGCTTCTTTGTCTCTGGGGTCATCCTTGTGCAGAGGACTCCTTGCGGCTCTTGATATGTTGTCCAAACCCAGGTCATGTGCTATGCCCAGGCACAGCTGAAGAAGCAAGGTGATTGAAACGGCCTGAGCGTCCATGTAGTGCTGGTGCCAAGCTATAAAAACCAACAGTCCCTGGAGCAAATCCAAACTCTTTTCGCCTTGCATGATCTTAACCATGACGACCTTTCGGAATTCTTGGCCAAGTGAGTGACGGAGCTGTGGTGAATCGTAGGATGCGGCTGTTAGTACGGCAAACAACAACATTGGGCGATTGTGGAACAGATCCTGACAACGACAGTCTCTCGGTACAACGACAAATGGAAAGTAGTCGACCATGCCACGGTAGGTATCAAGCAGCATTTGCATGTGTACCAAGCTGATGGACCTGATGAGGGGATCCAACTGGCCAAGACATGACAGAGTTTCGTTAAAAGATTCCCAAAATGGCAATGAATTTTCAGGTTGAGATCCGGGGCTTGGGAGAAGTGCAGTGGTAGGCGCAGACGACAGAGGCACTGTTGGAACAATTGCTTGTTTCGCCGTTTGGGCTTGCTGCGGCGGGTCTAGGACTGCCAGTTGGGAGGGAATAGTGACTACCGAGGGTAAACTGGTTTGAGCCGGAGACGGCGCCATGGTCGCAACAATGGCAGACAGTTTGTCCAGCTTCTTGTCAAAGTCGCGCAGTTTGCTGGGAGTCTGGCCATCAGTGCGTGCCTTTGCAGGCCGCCTGCGGGCGACATGCTCTACGCACTCTACTCTAGCCTTCTGGCACCTGGGGCACGTGTCATTGGATGTGGAGTAACAACAGCGACGAGTCAACATACCTCTGGCAAATGCTCGGAGTGTCCGAGGGCACACAGCGAACCTTGTGTTTTCGACATCTCTCGCAGGCAAAGGCGTTGCCTATCCTACCCTCCCGAACGTCCATGATGGGAGCGAGGCTGGCAGACTTGGGAGAGGGAGAGCCATCGGTCTCCGGTTGCGCCCTCGCGGAGGTCGCGCTCGTGTGGGGAAGTCCGATCATATGCCAAGTCCGGGGTCGAGGTTGCTGTGAAGAATAAAGGGCTCCAGGCGCGCGTATTGGATGGTGCCAGAAATCAATACTGCGCTGACAGGCCGGTTGGCGACACGGTAGGCCATTGCATCGAGACGCGAGAGCTTTGAAATGCGTGCAGCCGCGGGCTTGCCCATGTGGCAGTGCGAAATCGTCGAGATACCTCGGGTAGTATGGGCGTCGGCGCATCAATGGCCCGCGCTGCCGGCGGCTACATACTCCCGTCTCCAGCAAAGCCGCTCAAACGCCTCCCGACTGGTCCGAACATCCGTCCAATCCATGCCGGGGGGGCGTGGTCAACATTGCGTCCTTATAACGTGAGCCATGTCTGGCGCAGATGAAAAGGTGACGATGATGGCCGTCAGTCCCCTGGGTACAAGCAGACGGCTCGTCCCCTAGACGCGACGCTACCATGATAGCTTCTGCCCTCGACGGCCGGCTTTGATCATGACTAACCTACTAACCACACGACAACGACATGGCATCCCAAGCCCCACGCGGCCATGCGAGCGGCTTTGCAGGAACCATCGGATGGGGCAACAGACCGGCCCTTTTGCTTGTCGACGTCTGCAATGCTTACTGGAGTGAGGATAGCCCGCTCGACACGCGGTCAAACCCTGCCTCTGCGGCTGTGCCCGCATCCATCGCAAAACTCGTCCATGCCGCCCGCCAGGGAAAAGTACCATTGATATGGACCCGCGTTGAGTATATGGAGCCTGACATGGCCGACGCGGGGCTGTTCGCCTGCAAGGTCCCGTTGCTGCATGTTTTCCAGCGGGGCAAGGAAACGGGCCTCGAGAGTTGGGTTCCGGGCCTGGAGCCTGCTGCAGGGGAAGTCGTCGTGTCCAAACGCTACCCGTCCGCCTTCTTCGGAACCGACCTCTCTACGCGCCTCCAAATCTCCCGCGTGGATACTCTGGTCATCTGCGGTGTCAGTACCAGTGGCTGTGTGCGTGCAACTACTCTGGACGCAATGTGCCTGGGATTCCGACCAATGGTGTGCACTAACATGGCAATTATTGGGCCTGTGGAGACGTCGCTAACCATATTACTAGGTTGTTGGCGAGGCCTGTGGTGATAGATCACCTGCTGTTCACGATGCAAATATCATGGACATGGCCGCCAAGATGGCAGACGTGGTTTCCGAGAAAGAGGCGGTTGAGAAGCTCAGAGCTGGGTGGTTGTGAATGCATTCCGCTGAGCTCGGCCCGTCCGTCGTCTCTTCGTTTTCCGCTCTCTCTTCTCGGACGTTTATTTTAGGTTGAGAGATTGGGCTTTTGGGCAGGTATTTTGTGTCGCACAATCTTCCACGGCGGGGCCAAGTCAGCATTTAGCATGTTTAGAGAAATAGAGCAAAATCTCAAAGGTACAAGATGAAGCGCAGCCCAACGAGCTCACCAGACGCAGTGGCCTGACATGGAGGAAGGAGCCAGGCATGCCCGATGACCTGCACTTTCCTGATCTTCGCTGCTTGCTTCACATTGGCAGCTACGTGTACTTACTATACTACCCGCCAGATTGGATCGTACGTAACTTCAACTGACTCACGCCACCCTATACTGTGCCGACAAACTCCGCTACCAACACTCGCAAATACCTGGCGACGGGGTTGCCCTTCACAGTACACCACCACATGTTTGCCTTGATTTTCTCGGTATGATCAAGCGTGCCCTGCCAGTCCCCGCACCATGCTACACTCCCTATCCTGGTGCTGAGCCCATACCCGACTGTGTATGGGAATGCTGCAGATGCCGTAGGAGATGGCACACAAAAGAGATGGGCAATATATGTATCGGATGCAGCCATACATACTCAGTCGACTGTTGTCATCTTGCTCAGTAGTAATGTCAGCCTTGTGGTAGTAGTCAAGGGGGCTGCAAAGATTATGTAAGACTACTATCTACTAACTACCTATCATCAGCGGTACTTGGCCGCCATAGCTTTCTCCGCATGAACTCGGCTGACGACAAGGCAGACCCCAACAACAACTTACTCCACTCTCAAATGTTGGTCCAAGTTTCCTTTCCTTCTACTGACCACCTTCTGACCATACTCATTTCTAGACTCCTTTGCCATATCCACTCTGTGTGCGACGTCATCTGCATGCTCCTTGCAGGTTTCGGCCATGATCTTCCCATCAGTCATAGCAAATCCTCGATCTTTCCTGACATCATTTGCCTATCATCTACCTGGCTTGACCATATTAAGCCCCAATAAATTATGTGTGGTCTTTAAGCTCGCGTACCTAGCGTCCACGGCATTTGCACCTCACCCCGACTACCCTGTCGAGAAGACTTTGTCGGTCTCCACATAGCGAAAATTGGTGCAGGAGTCATCTCATGGGCGCTCTTCCTCCATTCGTCGCTTGCATTTGGTTTTTCGGTGTCGAAGGCAATTTTCAGCAACGACTGAAAACCAAACTTTTCGTATAGCGGCTTGCCCATGGCCGACGCTTCCATCCAGCATTCCACATCGAGCTCGTCGGCACGCGCGACTCCCACATCCATAAGCAGGCAACCAATACCCCGGAGTCGATGAGCAGGATCCACTGCCATCCAGTTGAGTGCTATTCGCCAATGTTAGCGACTGGGAGAAAACAACCCCAATCATTTTCCAATACGGTCGATCCCTGGAATAGCGCGTTTGGAGAAAGAAACTTATGCTCCACTTACCACAATGGGGCCGTGCCATCCAGCTCACGCGGGGCTTGTACACCTGATTCAGGATCGATTCGCAGAAACGCCGCTGTTCACCTTCAGGCCACCACGGTGCAGTCAACTTTGGTGCTCCTGCTGCGTAGGGATTTGTTGTCGAAATCACCCATTGTGCGCAGCCCACAGCTCTGTTTGTGACGGTGTCGAATGCGTAAAACCAATGGATTGACCGGTCGGCCTGGTGTTGTTCCCAGAAGCGTCGTTTGGATTCGTTGATGGCAGCCTCGCGATGAGCAGCCGTATAGCCAAGGACAGGAAATATCAGTTGAATAAAAGGTTCGTAGGGTGTGTGGTTTGCAGCCCAGACAACTTCCAAGATGCTATCCAACTCTTGCTTTGTTTTGGCTTCGCGGACAAAGTATCTTTGGCCCATGGTTGCACTTGAGTGATCAGATGAGGCTGTGGCGATATCGGACAGGTAAAGTAGTCGTCGAATACGCTACCTTGCCGCCATGGCGCATGGACAGCGGAACCGGAGATATAGCACATTCCAAGTATTGGACATCGTAGATTGCCGTGTTAGGGTGAAGACGCCCAACAAGGAAGGTACCGTTGACACTATTAGCGTCTTGGCGGGCCGGGCAAGTCACACCCTTTACACTAGCACACTTTGCCCGATAACCCCTCGCTTGGTATCACTATCATGGCCTGGAGGTGCTTGCGACCTTCCTCGATCGTACAGCGCCGGAAGACCGCCTGCTCGGCGATGTAACCGTCCACAGAGACAGATGGCGTTGCAGTTCATTCACGACCCGACTGTCGGAGCGCAATAGCTAAAGGGTTGTTTTCGCCCGACAATAGTCGTGACGTACGCCTGTACTACTGGTAACCTGGACACGTACTGCACAGCCTGCAGGATTTCTGTCTTATGAGGCCGCGTAGGTTTGGCGCTCCATGTCCATCATATGAACCACCCCAAGATGAAAGGATCTCCAGCATACCAGCCACTATGTCGCGACGAGGAAGGTAATGGCTTGCCGGAACTAGAAGCAAAAGAGAGCATTTCATGGGACTCCAACAGCACCGAGATCATTCCGACCAATACGCGCAGCTTTGTTGCATACTTGTCGCTTCTGCTACTCTCACTTTCAGCCAACATCTTGTTGGTTATGGATAACGCCAGATTGCGCATCTTACACTCTCCTACCAAGAGCGAGTACAGTAGGTACTGGGTATGAAATATTCGATGTGTGCTCACGGTCCTAAAGGCGGACTGACTCTCGATACCAACGTGCCCTATCACGCCATGACCAGGTACTGGCACTCTAATGCAAGCGATAGCGACATGGAGGCAGCATGGGATGCCATCGATACAAACGCCATGGCGGTGGCACTTGACGACAAATTTGTAGAGCGTCTCAGTCTGCCACCCTCCACTCCATTTCCATGGGACACTGAACGCAGTGTATACTATGTCAGGGGTGTACACGACCTACATTGTCTAGTGAGTTTAGCATACCTCTGCAAATACTCAAAACCGACTTTACCAGAAACTTGTTCGTAAAGCTATAGTCTCGAAACACAAGGGCAGCGAACAACCCTTCAATCTGCTACACATCTACCACTGCCTAGATATGCTACGACAAGACATCATGTGTGCAGCTGATGATACACCAATGCCAGCACCATTATCCCATGAAGCAGGCGATGGTCAGAACCGGAAGTGTCGCGACTGGAACAAATTAATCGCATGGGCGAGGCGCCCAGATCAGCATGCCTGCTACGAGTTTGATGACTATCGCGAGACTACTAACACGCTTGAGAACTTTGCGTTTTGCCCGCCTTCATCTCCGTATCAAGGCGTTCAGCGGGCTTACTTTGAACACCACGGACACAAGGACCCATATGAGCACAACGAGAATGCAGAAGATGTGATCGTATTCTGAGTTCGCAGGCGACCCGCTCAGGAAGACGCGAATCGCTTGTGGCTTCTGTTGTTGGCTGTTTAATTCATACTAGAAGTTAGGTTTTTCCACGTTACGAACGAAAACACTCGTCTTTCGGCTCTATACAAGTTCCGATGAGCATGCGACGCGATATCGATGTAGGCTACACAGCATAGTGGTTGTTAGCCACTAGCATCTTTGGATCATGGATCGGAAGATATGTATTGTCAAGTCGCTTGACCACGAAAAGAACGAGGCAGACACCCTTATCAGCATCGTCATTCCCTGTCATCACAGATCGACCGAGGTGTGGGCTTGTCCTATTACTGTGATCGATGTTCGGAGGATTTGGGGGCGAGCGCAGTGCGACTGTGATTCCGAGGCCTACGGTTTTTGAGAGCGGCTGAGGACAATGCACGTCTAATATGTTGAGAAGACCACGATTATATACGAAAAATGACGGTCCCGACATGCTAAGCTGAGGTACGTAGCGGCCAACACATATATCTTAACGCATAAAACATTAATATGTACTCTTTCACACATTGCAACCTCACTCTACAATCTTTCATCGTATGAGTAAAGCGATATCCTGTAAACCCGCGCCATGCTCACATACTGACCTTTGGACAGAACGTGAGAATCCAAAGAAGCACGAATAGTACAATCTACCTACCATGCACGCCGCCACCGCCGTAATTTCGCTCATTACCTTTGTTACAAGCATCTGTGCAGCTCCCATACCTACGAAAGCGGCAGCTCGAGCTGTGCCTGATATCAGTGAAGTGGCCCGAAATCCGGCACCTATCGATAACAGAGTTCACTGGGAGGACGGAAAACCTTCGCTTGGTGATGCTGACAATGTTTCATGGGAGGATGTTCAAAAACTTAAAGAGCTTACACACCATTTATCGGGAGAAAGTGAAGCATCAAATCCTGTCACTATTGGGGGGGTCGAGACTTCTGTCAAAGACCATGTCAAGTTTCATTCATGATGCTTGATTCACATGGGCAAACTTACTGACAGAAGTTGAAAGTATATCATTTTATTTTCCATAGTACGATGTATTTGCTAATTGTATTCAGTGTTTTTTCCACGCGCTCCATATCAAGTAACTTGCATCCAGTACATACTCCGGAAGCGCAGTATGCTGTACAATATGCTCTTTGGTCACCAAGTTAAGAGAATAACAACAGTTGTATCTAAGAGCTACGTTAGTCACTTTATCCCAACATGCATCCCTTCGAAATTTGACAAGCAGAGCGTATCTACCTTGACAATGTTCCATGACATTCTCCATGTAGGAGTTTGTGAGCAGCCATCTAGTGTGGAGCGCCACCGCTGCAGCGGTGACCGGATCTCGGCCTAGCATATCAATGGATCACTGCAGCAAATGTGCGCTGGCACATGTGTCACAATGTCAGCACCTGGTCGTCTTACTCAACTTCCCGGTAACAGCTGCCGTGACACAATGCCGAGAATGGTGTGCTACAGGGTTACATAACGATCAACAAGCTTAAAAGCAGGTCACCAAGCCTGTCAAAGCTGGCAAGCCCAATAACACGATAAGGCTGCCCATACTAACGACTGGGGTATAATCTGATTTGCTAACCCAACCTGACTCACCTGTTCATCTGACCAGGTAACACAAACTAACATACAAATGGGCATTTTGGTCGGCGATCGACATAGTGCTCCATTCGTGCATATCACTCTGTCGCCTTGTAACGCCTGTGCAACGCGATACAACTGCGTCTCTACATCTAGGATTTGTACACACTTGTTGCTATTCTGTCAATCTTCTGTCTTTCTTGTTTCGCCACTATAGGTGTCTTGTATTGTGAACAGACAGTGGATAACTACTTTGTGCGATATGTTGGCTTTCGGCTTTCCAATCGCGCATTGTCGCCCATTTGGCGGCTCGCAGCCTGACTTTGTTTGCGCGCCTGTGTCGCTCCAAGATGAATGGATAGACGCATTAAGGCGTTTGATAGCCACACACACTTGTTGTCCGAATGTGTTGGCTGTCACTGGTTGACTGACGTCTCATCTGTCTCAACTGAGACTGCCACAGTGCCAGCCACAGTTGAGTAGTCGTTCGTCATCGCTACCGCTTATTCCCTGATATTGCAAGCTTCCGGTGTCTCATACTTTTTTTAACGAGGACGGGGAGAGCGCAAGAATGGCAGTGCTGCCTTTTACTTCTTCCCGTCGCCCCATCCCGCGGCGGCCGGGAAGCGGCGCGGATGTCGGACCGTTCGTCAACGTCGTTACCTGGACCTTGCTGATTACTTCCGCACTTGCAGTTCTAACTAGACTGATTACGAAGCGTGCTCTCCGGAGGAGGATAGATATTGACGATGCTTTTGTCATGCTGGCTCTGGTACGTTGTCATTGATGCATCGCCTCGCTTGTTGGCCTGGCTCATAGTACTGATGATGTATGTGAACTAGGCCTCAAGCATAGCATCAGGTGGGGCCGTCAGTCTTCAGACGCATAATGGTCTTGGGAGGGACATATCGCTACTTACCCAGGGTCAGCTGACGGTGTATCGAAAAGTAAGGCATGCCGTCAGATCAATTATTGGGTCAATGGTGTGGTAACTGTGGTTTAGGCCGAATATGCAAACAACCTTCTCTACATCGCAACTTTGGGATTTGCGAAGTTGTCTATCATCTCGCTGCTCATGATTCTCACGGCGTCAAAAACCCATCGAAATCTCGGTCTATCGCTGGCTGGCTTCATTGCACTCTGGACGGTATTCTCAATATGTCTTGCAGCTTTCCAGTGCGGAACCACTGAGCCATGGCGCTTCTTAGGGAACGAAGAGATGTGTTTCAACATTGTATTTTCGAAGCTCACCATCATATTATTCCTTTATTTCTGACAAGTTGATAGGTCTCCTTTTGGCGTTCGGTTGGTGCGATCAATATCCTCACTGACCTGGCACTTACTGCTTTTCCCGTGCATGTCGTCATGACACTGCAAATGAGCATGAGTAAGAAGATAACTATCCTTACCTTTTTCGGTGCACGTTCGTTGTATGTTTGATGAATTTTGTTCTACAGTAAATTTTTTAGCTTACATATCATAGAGACATCGTCGCGACTGCCGTCCAAATGGTCTACCTCGACGGCTTTACCTCGCCCAATCCTACCAAGGCACTCTGGAAATGGACGCTCCTCGCTCAGATTATTGAGTGCATCACCATCATTACATCATGCGTACCATACATACGACCCCTCCTTGAGTCGGTTCCATCAGGTTTATATGCGAGTGACGATCTACGCCGTCGAGGTACATCGTCTGAGCATGGGGTCTCCCGCAGTAAAAACAGCTCCTATCAGCTATCTAGTATCGCCTCCAGATTCGGTACCGGGATTACGAGATCAAGTAGAAAGAGCCTCCATGCTGAAAACACTGGAATCAAACGCTTCTTGCCAATGTTTTCACAAGACAAGACTACGCATGCAAATTCTGCTTCTGGGATACCTGGGGGTCCGAGACGCTTGGATGGCGCAACCGATGTTGAAATTACAGCTGTGCATCATAGAAATGTGGACGACAAGAGTTGGGAGACTGCGAGCACAGGAAGTCACTCTAAGATCTTGAAGACGACGGTTGTTAGCGCCGAGTGGGAAGAGGCGGAAGTTAAGGGGCACGATGGTTCGAGTGACGAGATTGAAGTTATGCATGGAGGCTAGCTTGAAGTATCAGTCATGAGATTTCTTATCCTACTAATCTATGGACATGATATGAAAAAATTCAAAGCCTGAAATTCCCAGAAAGATACAACGCATTTCTATAGTATCATCTGGAAGTAGAGACTCATAATCTCTATCATCAAAATCCGACGATTTCCAGTCACTCAAATCCCATATGTAAGCGTCATATCCACAATCTCAACTTCCAATCAGCTGTACCGCTTCATCCATTCCACCACATGCTCCCCGTGAACCCACCACCCCTATCTCCTCTGCCAACACTCACTTAGATTCCCGGCAATTTGTGTACAACACGACCTATCTCTCTCAAACACCCCTCGTTAATCAAGCGTAACACCAAACAACCCACCCTCCCTCCCTTCCCTTCCCAGCACCCACATGCACAATCAACCCTCAATCCCTCCCAATCCCAGCCTTACGCATCATCCCAACACCTGCCCTGCTCCCAGTCAACAAAACACACACCCCCCGTACCACACCCTCGCACACAACAAAAAAAAGCAAACCCCATAAGCCCGAGTCCCGCACTCGCTATGCAGTCCATGTACCGGCCGTGGCACACGTACGGCAGTACGTTGTATGTTCTACGGCGCCGTACGTGGGCACAACCCGGGTGACTGCGTTTCACGCAGGTTCCCGTGTGGCAGAGTAGTGGAACTGTGGTGTTAAGATATGTGGGTGGGTTGTTTGAGGCGGTTGAGGCGGATGGTGTAGGCGGGATGGGTGAGACATTTGGGTTGGCGGGTGGAGGAAGGGAAGGGAAGCTGGGGGGTGGGCGGCGAATTAGGTTGGTGGATGCGGTGTTTGTGTGTGGAACTGTTGGTATGGATTTATGGTGGGTAGGGAATTGTTTCTGTGTGTGTGTGCGTGTGTGTGTGAGGGTTGTAGCAGGGAGGCTTTTCCACGTGAGGAATGGGGTGCCTATGGATGGGTGGGGAATGTGGCGTTTGGCAGGATCTAGGTTTCCTTTCGTGCTGAGATATTGAGATGCTTGGTTGGGAATCTTGATTCAGGATTATGTTACTGGGAAGTGTGTGGAGGGCTGTTAGGGCTTGGGTGGCATTGGTATTACGGTTGATTTTTCTTATGCTGCAAGTCGTTGTGACTAGTGAATACAGGCCTTGTAGGTCGAGTAGACCACGATGATGTATCGTGGGTGAGGTTGCAGTTACACGTCGCGTAAGATATGTTTCTCCCATCTAAAACAATACGTAGTATAGTAGTCTAACAAAAACTACACTAAGCACATAAACCCCCTCTCCACAGATTACCCC